TTTATCATCGTGTTAGTAGTTCATCGGATTGGGTTTCAGCAAACGTATTTCCATCGGCACATTTTCGTGTACCAAGTTAAAAATTCAAAAAAAGGCAAATCAAATGTTTGTAAATAATGAAAAAAAAAGTACAAATTTCTGTTAAATCTTCACACAAACACACATCACACATATTACATAACCCTTTGTGTAAAAACAAACCGAAACGAAAAAAAAAATTTAAAATAATCCACGCATGCACACACACACACACAGACCACCTTTATTTGTTTTGTTTTTTTTCTCGCTTATTTTCGCTTATCAAGCCAATTTGATTTTCTCCTAAACCACCACACGTATTTTATCCAGGCAAACCATATTTTTTTCATATTTATTTCCACATCCAATATCGATCAATGTTTTTTTTTTCAATTCTGATTCTGTTTTTCTCTTTCTTTCGTAATTTTTTCTTACTTTTGGATTTCACTTGTGATTATTATTGATTATTAAATTAGCAAAATATTAATTAAATTTACCAAGAAAAAAAATTATTTAATTACAGAATTTGTAATTCGGTTTTCCCCCTTCAATATAAAATGTTCGTCGTTGAAAATCCGATTCAGTCGATCCAGATTCTGTGTTTACTTTTTTTTCTTGCATCTGCATTTTTCTGATTCGCAAAAAAACTAAAACCTCCAAAATGTCAGCGAATGCTGCTGTTGTAGATGATTTTCTAATACTTAAATCAATCAACAGTCATTATGATCATCATAATCAACAACAGAAAAATCGTCAACAACAACAACAACAACAACAACGATCAAATTCAAAACCATTTTTACAAATAAATTCATCATCATCATCAACATCAACAACAACATTAAACGGTTCAACATTATTATTATCATCAAATGAAATAAATCCATTTAAAAATGAAAGTGATCATGAACAATCATGGTCAGCATTAAAATATTTACCATCACGATTGAAAATGAGTTTAAATCCTCATAATGACAATGATCAACAGCAATCAAATCAAAAAAATCCAAATAATTACCGTTATGCAAATGATACATCAACAACATTATCATCATCATCATCATCGATTCGGAAAAATGGAAAACATCGAAAACATCGAAGACGAAAAAGAAAAATTACTTATGATTTAAAACATTATCGTCGTATAACATCCATACAAATACTTATAATTTGGTTCATTTCGTTAATGATATTAACATGTCATTTATGGAATTGTTATCGATCATCATCATCAATCGATCAAAAATCAATAAATCGTTTAATCTGTTACTGGTTAACCATTAGTATTTCTTTAAATTTTCTAATTTCAAATTTATTATTATTAATATTACAATTTTATATTTGTCATTTGATACAAATGTTTCCAAAAATATCATGGTTATTTATTGAAATGTTATTATCAATTTTATTAATAATAACTATATTTTTCTATTCAATTATAATTGCCTGTTTAATTAATGGACAAAAATTTATAATTATTCTATCGTGGATACAATTAATGATGATTATTTTTTATTGTAAGTACCTTTTTTTTAAAATTTGTAATTTGTAAATTACAAATTACAAATTTTTGTAACTAATTTTTACTTTTTTGTTATATTTTGTTTTCTAATAGTAATAAATCGTTATTATAAATATCGTATGAATATATTACCACATCATCAATATGTATTAAATAATTATTTTAATGATAATTATTATGATGATATTAATAATGATTGTGATGATGATGATGATGAAAAAAATTATGTTTATCATATGAAAAGATATTTTTTTCGACAAGCATTTGATTCACCAATACCGACACCAAAGCTTACATTATCGGATAAACAACAACAACAACAGCCACCAACAACGCCACCTATACCGCCAAAGCCTCCTATGAAAGGAGTAAATGTTTGAATGAAATTTTTCAATTGATCCAGGAACACAGTGAAACAAAAAAAGTTTACCACTTGTTGATAATGATCATATTGTATAATTTATGTGATGAATAAAAACAAAAAACAAAACAAAACAAAAAATTCAGAAACTCTTCCACCTGGATAATAGAGGGAAAAAAACACTCATTTGAATATTATTTTGCGAGCAGGCGCAAACGCGGTTACAAAAAAATTAAAATTCAATTCAAATATTGATTAACCTTTTGGTTAAATTATTGCTTGTTCGCTTAATTATGTTGTTGTTGTTGTTCGATGTTTAGTTTGAGGTCAAAAAAATTTTTTGATTGTCGGGGTCGTTGTTGTTGTTGATTTTGATTTTCTTCAAACATATTTTTCTTATCCACCTGCATCAATCAATTTTCTCTCACAAAAAAAAAATCACTAAAAGTCCAATAATAGTGTCATCAACCTTGTTGATCATTATCGATTGATCGATGATTCGATTAAAGTAAAAAAAAATGGAGAGAGAGACTTCGATGTCCTCCAATCATCCATTTTTCAACTCCAACCGTAACGCAGTGTTAATGTCATTCGAAAAATCTTGATATCTTTTTTTTCGGTCAACACCATCGCACACCCTAGCACAATAAAATAAAAAAAATTGGGAAATTCCAAAAATGAAATTGAAAATTCATACCTGTAGTAAATGGTTGAATGTGTCACAACTCAATTCAACAAGGTGATGAAAGTTTTTTTTTAATTTAATTTTTTTACCTTTATCAAATTAAAAACGAAAGAAAAAAAAGGAAAAAAACACAAGATAAACTGCGAAAACTTTAAAAATAGCTTCTGTAATTTTAGTTTTTTTACAGTTTGAAAAAAAAACAAAAAAAAAACTTTCCCTCATCCGTTCATCATGAATGTAACAAGTTTCTTGGAAAATTTCCAACTATCCAAATATGCAAATCTAATTTTTCGCTTTCTCTAATTCGTCTCCTTTTCAGTTTTAATTGTTTTCTGTGGTCAGAACACTGAGTTTGCTCGGTTGTTTCCACCACCAGTATCACCACTAGCACCACGACCAGCGCCGCATCATTATCATAAGTGATTATTTTGGATCATTTTTCATCCAACATAATCATCATCCAACAGCATTCCCACCCTCACTTTATCTCATTTAAAGGGATGTTTGCTGCATAAATTTAGACACACAGACAAACACTAGCCATCCATAAACATCTTATGTTTTTTTGCTTGCTTGCTTGCTGGAATTAATGTGCCATAAAAACACATTACGGAACGAAAATTTTTTAATCTATTTTTTTTTTCATTGTAAATGTAATTCTTTTGGCACAGAAAAAAAATGTAGGATGTTTTTTATGATGATTATGATATCCCATGAATTAATGACGACGACAGGCAAGCAGCAAGCAAAATGATTCAAACAGGTTATGTTCCAGATGATGATGATGATGACAAAAAAGTAAAACAGATTTACTGGACTCAAAGAGTTTATTATCATTTTGCTTGTTTTTTTTTGGAGAAATTAAATCAGAAAAATGCTTTTTCTTTGAAAAAAACGAAGAAAAAACCAACTGAATTGATTGAATATCGATTACTTTTTTGATTCGATTTTGGGCTTGTTATTTTTTGGCTATTGATGTCTGTGTGGTCAGTTTGGAATGTTTGAAACAAAACAAACAAGGAACAAACATTGTTTTTTTGTTGTTTGCTTGTTTGTTCAATTGATTTTATCGATTGATTTTCATTATTTAACATCATCATCATCATCGTAAACAGACGAAAACAGACGAAAATTTTCAAATCAAATATCGATCGATCGATCGATAATCCACTGATAAGTTTCTTTTCTTTTCTTTTTCATTTCTCTCACTACTGGCTACTCTCTCTCTCTTTTTTGAAAATTTTATTACTGAATTTCTCTCCTTCACTAATTTACCTTTTTTTTTGCTTCAAACAAAATTTCTCATTAAAATGATGTTCAAACATAAACATCATCATTACTTCTTCAACATTGTCCATTTTGTTTATTAAGTTAGTGAAAAAAATTTGTTGATTTTTTTGATTGACAGAAATCAGTTTTTTTCGCTACAACAAACAAACATATCGATAATCCAAATGTTCGTGTTTTTTTTTTGCTTGTTTCACACATTTGGTCAAGTGGTCAAGTGATTTTTTTCAATTCATTTGGAGCATAACAACAGTGTGTGAAAATTAATTGCAACCACCGCCACTGTTTGATTCATTCTTCCTTGATCATCGATCAATATTTTTGTTTTTTTGACCATCGATTATCGATCCATTAAATTCTGTGATTAATTGAATTTTTTGTCCAAAGTCGTCCATCACAATCGATTATTTTACAATCGATATTTGAATCATCATCATCATTATCGGGCGATACAACGTACGACAATCATCATCATCGTCGTCGTCGTCAATCCAGGATATCTACTTTGACAAAAAAAGATTAGAAGTGAAAAGCCAAAATGATGTTTCACTGTTACCATCGGACATAACCGTCGTCGTCGTCGTCTATTGATGTAATAGTGTACCATATGATTGGTGCACCATGTTGAAACACACTTCCTTCTTCGTGGACAATTTTTCTATCTGTTTGTTTTGATTGAATTTGATCCATTTGAACATCGAAAGAGACAATTTTCAACTTTGAAAAACAACAAAGACATCAGCAGCAGTAAGTGAAATTGTTTGTTTTCTTCAAAATTGGATTATGACCCGATTTTAATCCAAAAAATCATAATGATAATGAGGCAAATTAACAGCAGCAGCAATTCAAAATGAATAAATTCAGTTCAGTTTCAGTTCAGTTCAAAAGTTGTTGTTGTTGTTACTGTTTAAAATGAAGAATGAAAGGAAATCCTGTGCGCATGGTGAATGATGAATTTGATTTTAATTCTTCTTTGTGATGTTTTGCATATATGCAAATTTTATTCTACAAAAAACAAATGATGTTTGGAGAAAAAAAAAGATGTTCAAAAGGAGATTTCTGTTTGTCTTGTTTTAAGACAATTGTTGCGCGCGTTTTGTTATGATGCATATATGTGACACGCGCAAACACGCGCAAAATCAGATAATCAGATAATTGATGTGTTTGAATGGATTTTCAGAAAAAAGTTTACACCATTCTGGGTCAATGATTTTAATCAAAGTTAATCAAAAACTTTTAACAAATCAGAATTAGTTTACCGAAAAAAGAACGAAATTTATGTGGGGGAAAAAAGCTGATGAAAACTTTTTTTCCCCCACTTCTAACAAAATGATAAATTATGATGATGATGGTGATATAGCTTTGTTTCAAGACAAATTTTTTCTGTCCATTTTTTTTTCTCATAAATAATATACAGTCGCTTGGCGGTTTTTTCCACATTCGCTGGGTGATTTATAGTTTTTTTCTTTCTTCTTCTTTGCTGTCTTATTACAAGCAAGCAAAGCGATTAAGATTTTAGAAAAATCACCAACAAAAGACAAAGACGGTGTGATTTTTCATTTTGGCCAAAATTTGTTTTGGCCTGAAAAATGTGAAACAAAATGAAAAATTAAAGAAAATTTTCTTTCTTCTTTTGGCATTCATTTCACATGGTTTTTTTGTTTTGTTTTTGTTTCGTTTGATTTCACCATTAGATTTTTGAAAAAGTTTTTTGGATATATTTTTAGATCCAGCAGAAAAAAGTTTGAGCATTCATTTTTCACACATTCAAAGCCTTGTTCTGCACCTGTGTGTGTGTGTGTGCGTATGGCACACGCGATTTCGATCCATTTCATTGAATTCATTGATCGATCGATCGATCGATCGATTGATTGATTGATTTTGGTTGTTCAATGTTTTGCTGTTGAAAACCACAGTGATGATGACAATGTCAATGAGAGAGAAAGAAAAAGTGAGAAAATGTGGTTGGTTGGTTGGTTGTGAAAAATGATTTTCGGGAAAATTACCTGGGAAATTTACCTGGATTTTTCGGGTACATTTTCACTCTCGATTATCGATTTTTTTTTCTTTCAACGAAGTAAAAATCTTATTATTTTTGCGACATCGTCACCGGTTTGTTTACCGAATTGAGAGTAAAAAAAAAGAAAAATCTCGTTCAACAAAGTATTTCTTTATCTTTGGTGCACCGATAATGGCTATTAATAAACCGAAATTGAAATTGAAAAAAAACTTTTCGGATATTTTTGTCCATTCATGTCAGCTGACAAACCGATAATAACCGAGAAAAGTTTCCAAAATCGAAAGCTACCACTGTGTAAAGATTTTTATTTTAGCTTCTTTTCAACTAAGTATCTTTGCCAAAGAAAAATGGTCCTAAATACGGTAACACCATGTAATTCGGTTAATTCGGTTAATCATCATCATTAATCTCTTTTGGTCGATGATTTTTTACTTAATTCGATTTGAAAATTTGTCATTGAAAAAAAAACATTTGAAAAAACATTCGCTTAAAGGTTATTTTTACATCAATCATCAGCCAACTTTGATACTTTTTTTTATATGTGTTTGGTTTGGTGCGAGGATGTGATTGATTAGAAAAACCAAAACCAAAATTCAATGGTAATCATCATCAATCATATTGAATTTGACAAACGAAAAAAAAATCTAATGAAACTCAAATCAAATCAATGGCAATAAGATTTAGTTTTCAAACACAAGAGCAAAATGATCAAAAGAAACATTTTCTAATTACAAAATTAACCGAAGAAAATATTCTGCTGAAGTTTCATTCGACTTGAATTTTATTCAATTTTGAAGAAAAAGTTAATTTAATTTTCATTGAAGAAAAACAATGAATTTTCAAACAAAAGTTTTTTGTTTGAAATTTTTCGTTTCTCTTCTGTTGTCTTTATTCAGAGATAATTTTCGGCTAATAAAAATGTGATCAACTTTATTCAAATCAGCGATGATGATCACTAATTAAAAAAAAGAAAGAAAGAAAAAGATCTATTCACAATGAAACAATGATGATTATTTTACCTGGGTCACACACACACACACACAGGTAACCTGGCAGAAATTCAAAACAAGCCAAAAGAATAGAAGAAATGTTTCTTCAACAACAAAAAAAAACTTGTTATTGTTTTAAATTACAAACAGAAAAGCGATGAACTTGATTCTTTGGTTCAATGATTTTTCTGTTGTTGTTGCCATTGTCGTCCGTCAACTGACTGACTGATCATTATGATGATTATATGATGATGATGATGATGGTGACAACCTAAAACTAAAGCTAAAACCTATTTCGAATTGGGAAAAAATCAGTCAATCATCTCACCAGTTTTAATGATTACGAAACGAAATTATTTTTCAACCAGAAAATAATAAAATATATACCGACCGATCTATCCATTGTAATTTATGTAACGATATTTATGGATTTTTCTTTCTTCGTTTTTTTGTTTCTGTTAATAATTACGATATAGATGAATGGTTTTTTAAAAAAAAAGCTATAAACACCCCATATAATAAGTTTGATAATGAACACCTTTGTGTGTGTATATAGTCGAATCTGCTATTTTACTCTTCTTCTTTGTCGCCTCAAAATAAGAAAAAAATGATTGACTGGTTGGTGTTTCCTTTTTTTTTCTTCTTCTTCTTCTGATATAATAATCACTTTGATGAGCCAAAGGGAGAGAGAGCTTCAATCTTTTAACTTAAAAAAATAAACCAAAGAGAAGTAAGCAAACAGACAGATCACCTAAGTAACAAATGAATGAATGAATGGAAAACGAATTGGCCAATTTGGAAAACGAGAAACAAAGTTAGAGAGATAGGGAGAGAGAGTTGAATGTGTTTGGTCGATCCCTTTTTTTTCGGTTATTATCATGATGATGATGATGCAAAGGTTTGGCATAAAGAATGGCTCTTCTTCTTCTTTTTTGAAATTCTCCATTGTTCATTGATTTTCAAATGATGATCATCGTTGGTTTTTTTTCGTTAAAGTTTTTTCATTTGTTTCACATCTAAAAAACATGATCTAGTTGCCAAACAAAAAACAACGAATGAAACAAAACAAACAGCAACGATTATTGTTTTTCGAGGTTTTTTTCTTCTTCTTTTTGTCGTTGTCGTCGTTGTTTTCAACGAAAAATCTATTTGGTTGTTTGGTTGAATTGAATCAAAGTGACCCGGCCACCAAATCGACAACAACGACGACCACTAAACCCCGAAATAGTCGACCAATTTTGAAATGGTAAAAAATTTTCTCTTGTTTTTTTTTGTCATTATCGTTGAGTTTTTTTTTAATTAAAAATGACAATGATGTTGATTGTTGTCGACGAAGATTGTTGTTGATGATTGCTGTGGATTGCTGTTGTTGTTAACGATAATGATGATTGTCAGGTTTTCAAAAACTATCAATTCAAAAAAAAAATCTTACCTGCAAAATCTTACCTGAAATAAATCTTTCAATCAGAAAAAAAAATTAATCTTTTCGTTTCTTTTCGTTTCATTTTGGTCATCATCGTCATAAAATGACATTGCTGGTTGCTGGTTCCAAGATGATGATGATAATGTAGAGGCTGCTGAGAAGAGAGAAACCACAACTCGAAAGAAATCTTTCAACTAGTCACATATATCGACGACCAACCGTAATCATCATTTCGTCAAAATAAGATTTTTTTGTTTTTGTTGAAATAATGAAATCTTTAAGGTGATATTTCGACGACCACGAAGAAGAATTTTTGAGGTTTTTTCATTTGTAAAATATTCGTGAGAAACCAAGATGTCATCAATAAATAAAAATCATTTTTGGAATAATCATCTTTATAATGGTGGTTATCGATTGAAATCAACAACCAAAACATCGATACTATCGATAGTTCACACGATAATAATATTCATGATTATTTGGATATTGATGATTATCAATCGACAGATATTATGTCAACAACAACAACAACAACAATATTCACATCTATATCCCTCATATCCACATCATTCAAATTTTTATTTATCACCACCACAAACATCACCAACACCATCATTAACAAATTCTAATCAATTTCAACCAACAACACGAATTTATACCATTCGTACAGGACGTGCAATTGATCATCATAATCATCATCATTTTCATCAAAATAATAATGATAATATCGCATCACAATCATCGCAGATGTTATCATCATCGTCGTCGTTGTTGAAGCCACAACAATCTTCACAATCAACGTTTTATCGTTCGATTCCATTATCATCAAGTTCATCACAATCTTCTTCTTCTTCAGTAAACAACAACAATCATATTAAAAATCAATATCCTCATTATAATCATAATCATCATCATTATCATTATCAACAACAACAAAAAAATTCACTTCCTCAACAACAACAACAACAACAACATGAATCAAGACAAATATCATCAAGAAGTTATCATAATAATCACCAGTCATCACCATTATTATCATCATCACCGACAACATTACATTCGATTGCTAGTGGTATTAATAATAATGATAGTAGTAGCATTACCGGAAGTTCAGGAATAATGATGATGATTGGAAATAATAGAATAAATAGTGCTGGTAGTGGTATAACGGCTATGACAACATCCACCACACCCACACCATTAACCACTCCTACTAATACGCCTACTACAACACCCACAATATCAACAACAACAACAGTTATACATCATCCATCAACTTGTTCGAATGATCGATCTCAAACAGCTTGTACATTTAATCTATTATGTTATTTAGCAAATGGTTTACCAATTGAAGGTTGTGAAGATAATCCATCCATAACATGTTGTTATTTACGTTTAAAAAATCCATCATCATTAATGTTACAGAAATTTTCCGAAATAGGACCTAGTTATTCATTATTTTATCAACAACAACAACAACAACGTTTGCCAACAACAACAACAACATCCGAAACATCCAAACATCAATCAATTTTACCGATTATAACGTTTGAAAATGCTACGGCAATGACAACAACAACAACAACAACAACGACGACAACAACAACAACACCAATTCCACCATTACAATCATCAATAATCAATGATAATAATGGTTATCATTTTAATCATCCATTTAATCATCATCAACATCCAAATTCACCATCATCATCATCATCATCACCAATGACACCGATTCATTTGATTTCAATGACCAATAATAATAATAATAATTTAAAATCAACAACAACCGCAAACGCAAACAACAATATTCGCAATTATCAATCGCCATCAAAATCATTATCTTTAGATCATTATCATAATGTTGGTACATTACCATTATCATTACATCAACATTATCTTCAACATCATCATCAACATCATCATCAACATAATCATCAATCGTTGTTGGGTTTTAATTCTGGATCATCATCAAACAACAACAAATTTGAACAATCATTTAATCTAAAAAATGATCTACTTTCATCATATGAACCACAATCATCAATGACAACATTTCGTAATCAAAATGAATTTGATTATGCAGTATCGAATGCAATACGTCGTACACGGCCGGATAATGTAATGAAATCAGTATTTCAAGAAATTGTTAATCGAAAATTTTATGCTAGAAATTATAATATTGATGATAGTAAGTTTGATGATGATTTTACCTGGATTCTTGATAATAATTTACCTTATTCACTAATTAGTCTGTGGTAAACCAATGTCAAAACCACGTAGCCGTATTATCGGTGGACAAGATGCATATTTTGGTGAATTTCCATGGCAAGTTCATATTAAAATTACTAAACATCAATGTGGTGGTGCATTAGTTAATTCAAGATTTATTGTTACAGCTGCGCATTGTATTTATCAGTAAGTTTTTCTGTTTGATTTGAAAAAAAACCGCGCCAAAATTTTCAAATATTCAAAAAAAAACCTTTTATATTTTTCTCTGTGTATAGAGCACCTATTCATCAATTAAACGTAATAATTGGTGCACATGATATTGAAGATCACCGGTATCAGGATATACCACCACAATATTTTCATGTTCAACGTGTTATATTACATCCGAATTTTCGTTTTTCTGCAAGTCATCCTGATCGTTATGATGTTGCATTGATTAAACTTGATAGTCCAGTACGTTTTAGTGATAGTGTATTACCGGTTTGTTTACCCATTGAAGAGAATAGAAATTTTGAAGGACATAAAGGTGTTGTTACTGGTTGGGGTAAAACTGATCCAGCATTAAGTAAGCATTTATTCTGATTATCCATATTTCATTCTAAAATGATTAATTGATTAATCCTTAGGTAATCGTTATGGTACACGTTTATTACAAAAAGTTGATGTACCAATTATTGATAATGAAAAATGTGAAACATGGCATCGTACACGTGGTATTGATTTACGTATTTTTTCTGAAATGATGTGTGCTGGTTATGAAGATGGACAAAAAGATGCATGTGTTGTAAGTGAAATTGAAAAAAACAAAAACATTTTCTAATGAATCAAATTCTATACAGGGTGATTCAGGTGGACCATTAGTAATAAATATGAATGGCCGTTGGACATTGGCCGGTATAACATCAGCCGGGTTTGGTTGTGCACAATCCCGTCAACCTGGTATTTATCATCGTGTTTCACATACGGTGAATTGGATTCGGCAAACATTACATGATGAAGAGGAAAAAGATAATAATTTAAATCAAATTTAAACAAAACAAATCAAATCAAATCAAAACAGACCCACCGATCAATCAAATTCAATGTCATTTTTTTTACCAAGGAAAAAAAATATGACAAACTATTCTGCAAATACGCAAAGATGATATTTATTTTCTCCATTTTCTCATAAACATAAATAGTATTTTTTCTAGAGTATTTTCCATTGTTTATAGTTTGTTTTTTCTTCTTCGCTCATTTCTTTTGATTGATTTTTTTCGTGAATAAAAAGAATTAATTTTTTTTCTGTCCCTCTCTCTCTCTCTCTCTCTCTTTATTACCGGCTATTTTTTCCCGAAAAAAAAAATTAGTTACAAGCAACAAACGGTAATTCACAAGCGAAATAAAATAAAATGATAATCTTCAGACGAAAAATAAACAAATTTTCAATGATAATGGTTATCATATCGTGATTTTTGGCTGGTTGTTTTTTTTTGTTGCTGACCATGGCAATGATCATCATCATCATAGTTGGTCATCCAGTAAACAGTTAAAATTACCGAATGACCGATTAATGACCGGCTGGCTGGCTGCCCGGTTATTGCTTGAAGGCAGAAAAAGATTTTATTCTTTTTTTCTTTCAAAAATCTCAATGTTTCGTGTTAGTTGAGTTGGTTGTGTGATTTCTATTTTTTGCCATTTTTTTTTATTAGACAGTGTTGATTATGATTTTATCCATCCATCCATCCATCCATACTTAGTTATCTTAATTTATCAATGGACAGTGTCTGTCTGTCTGTATGTCCTAATTTTCAAAAAAAAATTATTAAAACAAAAAAAAAATACGAGAAAAGTATCATTCACAATCGATAGATGGCGACACGTTTTCTAGAAAAATACTTTTTCCCAAAAACTAAACCAAAAAAATGAAAAAATCAAAAATCAAAAATCAAGATAGCAAGATGATCATCATCATCAAAATCATAAACTCGTGATACTTGACCATCCCTCAAGTTATTGGACATTGCCAATTCACAAAACATTTGCAATTTTATTTTTAGTTTTAGTTTTTCATAAAATTTACCATTTTTGGTAAACATTTTCCTATCCTTGTCCTGTAAAAATAAGCAAACTGTGTTTATTTTCTTTCTCTCACTGTTTCGGTCATTGGAAAAATCGAACCGAAACAAATCGCCACAATGTTGTTGTTGTTGGTGTTGTTGTTATAATTGGTAATCATCAATATCCGTTTTATCGTTTTTATTGATTATCAAAGTTTTTCAATGTAACACACTACCAGCCATAGCCATCACCTGACTAAATTCGGGTTTTTTTTCGTTTCGATGTTGCAAAGCACCAAACAACATCGTCTATTTTTGACCTGTTGACCATATCCCCGAAAAAGAAAAATTACATCTTGGATAGAAAATTACTTGGAAAGAAAAATTTCCCTGGAAAATGCTCCAGGCAAATTGTTGAAAGCGTAAACATCATCCAAACGATCAAACGATCGATCGATTTAGAAATTCACCCAGTGAAAAAAAAGTAAAGCAAACGAAAAACACCATAATCATCGAAATCATGTTTTTTTATTTCAGTCAATGTTTTCATTTCATTTTGACCAGATAAATTATCAAAGACCTAGTGACCTAGATTTTCATAGGCTAATCATGTTCATTTAATTTGTGTATAACCATATTATCTATGGATTGGATGATGCTTTTCATTTGTGTCGAAATAGCCCCATAGGCCATTTGCCATTTTGTTCACTGATCAGCTATAGATTAGAGTGAGAGTGATCGACTTTGGATGATTTGACAGAAAATCTTTCATTTTTTCGTTTTTTCAAAATGATTCAACAAAATTTCCCAAATGTTTTTCTGACCAGTGTTTAAAACCAATGATCAGTGATCAGTGATTCCTTATCTATCCAGTGATCATTCTTATCAGTTTCTTGATGAACGAGCAAGAGAAGAAGAAATTGATTTCGGTTTTGCCAAAAAAATCATTGTTTCACTTTGCTTTGTTTTCATATGAAACCAAAACTTTGAAAATTCAAAAAAAAAATTGAGAATTTGAGAATTTGAATATGCACACACAGTGTGTGTGTGCTGCATAACCCATTTTCCTAGTTTGTTTTTCATACGAAAACCCAATGAGAGATATGTACATGCGGTTATCGTTATAACGGGTATTATTTCTCTTTTTTTTTCAACCGAAAAAAAGTAGAAAAAAATTTCAATTTCTAGTTTTTTTTCGCCCAGAAACCAAAATGTTTTCATTTCTTTTTCTTCTTCTCTGTTTTGATCTTTGTGAATAATAAAATTTTTCAATAATAATTTCTCTCTTTTTCTGGTTCTCTTCATTTCATTTCTTCATTTCTGTCTCTCGGTTTCGTCTGTTCTATTTTTTATTTTTTCAACGAAAAATTTGGCTGGCTCTTTAAAACTTTTTTTCAATCCATATTTGCTGATGATGATCATTTTGTGATTTTTCTTTTTTCTGGTTGATTGTTTGATCATCATCATAATCATCTTTGATCTTTGTCATCGTGGTGGTGGTGTTTTTTTTTTCTTTTTTTTTGAAAATTTTCAATTTTCAAAATTTTCAGTGGGAAAAAAAAGAGAGAATCCATTGAAAGAGAATTTTTTCCCGTAAAGTTTTCTTCTTCTTCTTGGTGCTGAATCAAACCATTAGACGACGACGACGATGCCATCGCCACTGCCATTCATCATCACCATCAAAAACGACGACGAATGTTTTTCTATGATCAACATTGATTAATTGATTGTCATCAAATGTTTGTTTCCAGTAAAAAAAATTTGTCAGAATTTTTGATGGACATTTTTTTTAATTATTAGTGAATAATGTTTACGAAAAGTTTCTCTGAATGAAAATCATCAAATGAATCCGAATCATCATCATTTGAATCATCAGTTTTGTTTTTTTGTTTTTTCTGTTTTTTCCTAGCTAATAATGCAGGTAACTATAAATTTTTTTTTGAAATATTTCCACTAAACAATCGATTGTTTTCAATCGATTAATCGGGGGAAAAACAATCGATTGTTTTTCATTAATCTGATTATCATTCGATTTTCAAAATCAAACACCCGGCTTTCAAAATCTTTCTTTGAAACATTCACTCCACCTTAACCCAGATATGAATTGAATGAATGAATCCTCGAACAATTACATTGACCACCACCACCATAATAATCAAATTATTCATTCAAATCATGAAATGAATAAATCATTCGACGAGAATAAATGAAATAATCATGTTTTTGATGATTTTGATAACCAAAAAACTGTAAACTTAAAAAGTTAAATTTAGTTATTTCTTTTTCATTATTATTATTATCAGATTTTCTTTCCCTCTCTCTGTGTGTCTTTTGGTCAGAAAAAAAGAGAAGGTCAGCAAACAAACAAACAAGTGTCATTTTATCATCATTATGATTATGATGATTATCATAATCATAATCATCTTCTCTCTCTCTAACGGTGAATTAATGATGATGGTAGCCACCTGATGATTCTATTTTTTGGCAAGTGAATTTGTTTCAGTGTGTGTGTGAAACTCACACACACAGAGATTACAATTTTTCAATTTTTTTTCCGAACAAAAATATTGATTGACCGAACCAATAAAAAAACTTCGAGTTACATCCAAAATCATTAAAATGATGATTGAAAATGGCGAAAAGAGGGAAAAGAAAAAATCCATTAAATGATTGACCCTTTTGTCATTTAATGATGATAATGTCATCATCATTGGTCAGCAAGCAAAATTATGAAAAATTTACGAAAATTTTTGGCAAAAAAAAATCTTTCTCGAAATAATAATAAAAAGAAAAGATTTCTTCTTCTTTTCTTTGTCATTCTTGTTCAGGTATTTTCCATCATCATCATCATTGAAATTGTATGTCAGCAAGTTAGTAAGTCAAATTCAACAGGTTCACATTCATTCAACATTTCAACATATTGAACAATATGGCTGATTTGTCATTTGGGTTAAGTTCATCCACAATTCATTCATTTCATTCATTCATTAATATTTGTCGAAAAATTCATTCATTTATCAATCGAAAAGAATCTTTCGTTCGTTCGTTCGTTCGGTTAGTTTTTGCTGTTTTTCAATGTCAACGTTTTTAAGTTAAAGAAAACTGTGTTAATTATTACACAATCAATGATTAGTGTTCTCGTTTCTTTCTTTTCTTTGTTTTTCTGTGTTTTTGGCATTGAATTCATTGGCACAAGATGTGCTAATTATGCATATCGTTTTCCAAAAAAACAAAGAAAGAAATCGGCTTGCTTTTTTCGAAAATTGAATATCTGGCTGCCCTCGTTTCTTTTTCGGGATGATTTTTAGCAACGATGCCGGCTTCGTTCGATCTTTTTTTTCTGATCATCGATTAGAATCAATTAGTCAAGGTTGTGTGATTTTGTTTGTTTCGTTTTGCATAATCAATAACCGGACATAATTGGAAAACCCTTTGTTTTCAAACAAAACAAAACAAGCAAACAAACCCAGATCGATTGCACACCTTCAAAATATTGGTCAATTTTTGATTTCTGATCTTTTTTTTTTGTCTGGTCTGGTCTGGTTTTCTTGTTTTTTTTTGCCAAAATGAAAATGAAAATCTTCTAACACTCGCCTTACCTTGCCCATTATAATCTTGAATTTTTCATCTAAAATTCGCAAAAGTAGATTGACCTGAAACACGAAAATCAACCGAATAACAAAAAAAAACCGATTTTCATCAAATGATTTTTCTAAAATTTTCTAAAATTAGCTTTTTTTTCTTCATCAGGCTCTAGATCAAGGTAAAGATCTTTCTTTCTTTTTTTTCAATTGTATAATTTTGTTTCATTTTCACAATAGCCACATGACAACATCTTAAAGTATTACACACACACACACATCACACATCACACATCAAAGATTTCTCTTTTTCTTTACCTTTAAAATATACATACAAAGATTGCTAAAAATACACAAAGATTTTTTTGTCGGTTTTTTGGTTTTATTCGGTAAGTTCATTCATGTCAACAAACAAACAAACAATAATTTTTTTTCTTCTGTTTGGTGGTTTTCAATCTTAACCAAAAAGAAAAGAAAAATAGAAAATGGTCTGTCAGTGTCAAATAAGTGTGTGTGTGTGTTTGGGTTTTGAATGAAGAAAAAAAGTTTGTGAAAGTAGGTTTTGACCTATCTTTCATCATAGGTAACACTTTTTGTGAACGTCTCCCAAGCGAAAATACGAATAATGGCCATTTCAATCAATCAATCAAATCGAAATCAATTGAAATTGATTGAAATGGCCATTCACATAATGTGTGTGCAATGAATTTCTCAAAATAGAAATTGAAAATGGCCTATTTTTTTTCTGCTGTTGGAAAAAACACTAATTTTATCTACTTTTTTCTTCTTTTTCACACCAATAGAATGTTTAGAGGACTTTCATTTTTCCTAGTCACCATCAATCTATTATCATGTCATAATAATCGATTGAAATCACATTTTCTTTCACGTTCCATTGGAACGTTACATCAATTATCATCATCACCGTCATCGTCATCAGCGCCATCTTCGTCAGCGCCATCAGCATTATCATCAGCATTAGCCATTAAAAATTTAACAAATTTTCGTTTTTATAAATCATTAAATTCATTATCACCATTAAATGCATATCCATTATTAGTAACTGGTTCGATTAATTCAATTATAAATGATCAATCATCATCTGCATCATCGACATATGATTCAAAACAGGTATCAAATACATTATGGAATCTATTAAGTATAGCTAGATTTATATTATGTAAGTTTTCGATTGATTTTGATTGATTTGATTGATTTTGAAATATCGATTTATTGATTGATTTTATTGATTTTGAATTGAAAATTCCTTCTTTGAATAGCATTTCCACAAAAATGTCAACATCAAAATGAACAATATCAATGTACATTTGGTATAACATGTTGGATGTCTGGCCAACGTCCATTAGATTTATGTAATGGTGGTATATTTTGGAGTTGTTGTGTACCATTTGAAACAATTTCAACAACATCAACAACAGGACAAACAAATCAAACATCAATTACGCCGGATGAAGTTGTGGATCCAGGTTTGTTTTTTATTTGCTTTTTTCTCACCTGTTGAATTTGATTGAAAACAAAACAAAATTTTAGAATGCGGTCGTATAATGTTGACAAGAAATGCAAAAATTGTTGGCGGTGAAAATGCTCGATTCGGCCAAAATCCATGGCAAGTTGCAATTGTTAAACATCAATTTTTAAATCAAAAAATTTCCTGTGGTGGTGCATTGATTAATCGTCGTTGGATTGTTACGGCTGCACATTGTGTTTATAAGTATGTAATTACTTTTTTCTCGCACCAATCACTCACTCCAATAATAATGTTGTTTTTTACTTCGAAAAAAACCCCAAACAACCCAAATGTAGAACACCGGCAAATAATATTCGTATACGTTTAGGTGATTATAATCTAAAAGCACAAACCGAACAATATATACATGAAGAATATAGTATACGAAGAAAAGTTGTACATGAAGGTTATAATCCAGCAACATATCAAAATGATATTGCATTATTAGAGCTTAATCAAGATGTTATTTATCGTCCACATATATTACCAATTTGTTTACCACCAAAAGGTTAATTAAATCAAATCAAATCAAATAATATTTTTCTTTATTAATCGATCGATCGATTGATCGATTGATTGATTGGAAATAATCTAATCACCACCATTCTTTTTCATTTTATTGGTTTAGGAAGAAATTTTACCGGTGAAAAAGCAACCGCTGTAGGTTGGGGCCGAACACAGTACGGTGTTTCAACATCACCCGGTATCCTACAGAAAGTTGATGTTGAAGTTATTGATTCAGATGATTGTCAAGAATGGATGAAAAATGCCGGTCGGAGAGAGAAAATTTTCAACAATATGCTTTGTGCTGGTTATAAAGATGGTGGCAGGGATTCATGTCAAGGTGATTCTGGTTCACCATTAAGTTTACGTGATGATAATCATCAGATATTGATTGGTTTAGTTTCATGGGGTAAATTTATTGATTGATTTTTGATTTTTTAACCCAAAAAATTAACCAAAATTTCATTCAAACAATAAACAGGTGTTGGATGTGCAAGACCAAATCTACCGGGTGTTTATACACGTATCACTGAATTTGTTGATTGGATTCATATACATACCAATTAGGAAAATCAATCAATCGATCGATCGATTGATTACCTGCCTGTTTTTTTTCTGGAAATTACCACCATAATACTGATGATGATGTAAATAGGTTTTATTTATTGATTTTATTGATTTTTTCTTTTTTGATTGATTGATTTCTACTGATAATAAAAATGTTGTTTTATTGCTCAATTTTAATGGTTGAGAATATGAAAAACTTGAATTATTTATTTATTTTTGGCCATAAGTAATTTCAATCAGTTTTTTTTATCAGGTAGCTCTTGATGATAATAATAATGATGTTGTTTTTGTTGCCAAAGATTTTAACTAAAATCTTACACTACCACCATCTTGTTGATGGTTGATGGTTACAATGATCATCATTCATGAATCATGGAGCCGACAATCAGGTTTTGCTACTGTTTTATATACGGTATTTCGACCAGACACCAAAAAAAAAAAAAAAAAATTGACCGATTCGGCATGATCGGTAAAAAACTTGATTGTATACCACCACCACCCCCACTAACACNCTCAATTTTACTGGTTGAGAATATGAAAAAATGTAACTTGAATAATTTATTTATTTTTGGCCATAAGTAATTTCAATCAGTTTTTTTTATCAGGTAGCTCTTGATGATAATAATAATGATGTTGTTGTTTGTTTCCAAAGATTTTAACTAAAATTTTACACTACCACCATCTTGTTGATGGTTGATGGTTACGATGATCATCATTCATGAACCATGGAGCCGACAATCAGGTTTTGCTACTTTTTTATATACGGTATTTCGACCAGACACCAAAAAAAAAAAAAAAAATTGACCGATTCGGCATGATCGGTAAACAACTTGATTGTATACCACCACCACCACCACTAACACCACAAATATCATCCGTTTGACCGAACATTCGATGATAATGATAATGGTGGTGGTGGTGGTGGTGGTTTTAGATATTGGTAGCATAGCATCCAATAAATATAAAAAATATACTTGTTGTTCGGTTGTTTGATTTTGAAAAAAAAAAGTTCAACGTGGTCTTCGTTGTTTGCTTATTTATTTTTGTATTTTTGTTACAGTTATTTTTTCTTCTTCTTCTCTTGTTCATATTTTTCGTATGTTTATTAATAATCATAATTTTTTTTTCTGTTGAAATTAATTATCAAATCAAAAAAAAAAAAAAATCTGATGTAATCAACATTCACCTGGAATAATTAAAAAAAAATCCAATTAACCTGGAAAAAATAGATTTCATTTTTTATGAAGAATCATTGATTTTAATTTTACAGAATAGAATCCGAAAGAAAACGAAAGAATTAATAATCTAAAAGAAACATTTCTTTGTGTTTGTGTGTATGGATGTATGTGTGTTTCTTTCTTTTTAAACAAGAAACATATTTGCATATATAGTATGCGCATAGAGACGTTCGATGTTTTTTATCATTTATCAATCATTACCATCATAATCATTCATCATTTTGTAAAAACATCATCATCATCATCATCATCATCAAACGATGGCCAACAACAACAACAACAACAACATGGTAAAGTTGACCATTTTGGTCAACAGTTCAACTTTTTTACATTGATTTTTTTCTCACAGGTTGTGGAATCAATCGATATAATAATGAAATTCCATTAACTGAACGTATTGTTGGTGGTAATCGTTCATATGAAGGTGAATTTCCATGGCAAGTTTCCATACGATTAACACATCCACAAGCAGGTAAAGTTGGTCATTGGTGTGGTGGTGTTTTAATCGATAATGATTGGATTGTAACTGCTGCACATTGTATTATCAAGTATGTTTTTGAAATTTTCCAAAAAGTTTCCAGAAATTTTCAAACCTTTTTTCTTCAAACAACTACAGTCCATTATTTATGTTACCACAAGCAAAACATTGGGAAGTACGTGTTGGTGAATATCATCAAAAAATGGAAGATGGCTATGAACAAACATATCAAGTTGAACAAGTATTTCATTATCCATTATATAAAGGTTATGATAATGATATTGCATTAATGAAATTATCTAAACCGGTTGAAACATCTGAATTTGTTAAACCAATTTGCTTACCGCCAAGTATTTATACAGAATTTTTTGAAAAAGAATGTATTGCTTCGGGTTGGGGAAAATTAGATCATAGTAAGTTTTTTTACGATTTTTGTTTCTTCCACAAATTCAAATTCTGATTCTATTTTTGTTTCTCCCCCCTGACCACCACCACCACCACCACCATCAACAGATAAAAAAGGATCGGATGTATTACAAAAAGTACGAATCAAAGTTTTTGATAATGCATTATGTCAACAGGCTTATTTTTCTAAATTTAAAATCGGTATTAAAAATTGGCATCTTTGTGCCGGCACCGAAGATGAACGAGGTAAAAAACCAGATGCAATTTCTTTCTTCTTTCAAAAAATTTTAATCAAAAGTTTTTCTCTCATTACCACAGGTGGAAAAGGAACATGTCATGTATGTTTTGCTTTGTTTGTATTTTAAAGTTTTTTATTTTCAAAATTTTGTTTAATCACTTATACAGGGTGATTCAGGTGGTCCATTACAATGTAAAATTGGTTCAACATGGTATTTGGCTGGTGTTACTTCATTCGGTTCTGGTTGTGCAAAACCTGGATTTCATGATGTATATACACGTATTACACATTTTATGGAATGGATTAATCAGCTTAGATTTCTTTATTGATCCCTTTTTAAAACAAAAAACAAAACAAAAACGTCATTATCACCACCACCATCATCATCATCATCATCATCATCATCATCATCATCATTTTAGATCATTTTTTTAACCCTTAACTAATAAATTCTAATTTGTAAAACTGGAAAAAAATCTGATTTTTTTTTTTTGAAAACATAAACAAACAAGCAGCACACGTGTTAAATGATGCGGGAAAACATAGTGATTGAAAGATTTGGCTATTTGGACGCTGATGATGATTATTGCGGGAAATAATCATAGGCAATTGTCGGATTATCATTGCCAACACCAACGATATTTTGTTCAAAGTTATTTCTTGGAAAAGCAATTTGTGAATTTTGCAGCAGCAGCAAATCCTGCTGTTGATCAGGATTCTGTAGTTGATCCTGTTCTTGATGATTATGATAATGATCCAATGTTTTATTAACATTATTCAAATCATCCTTTAATTTTTCCAATAAATTTAAAAGAATATTTTGAAATTCTTGAAATTCTATTGTTGTTGTTGTTGTTGATTGATAATTGTTATTGTGATTTTGATCAATGCTGTTACTTCGGTTGTTTTGATTTTGGCTGTTATTGAATAACTTTTCCAATTCAATTGGCGAAAGATATTGAACAAGAATTTGTTTATCAATATTTCTTAGGAAATCAATTGATTCACGTTCAATTATTGAACGTTTTATCATTGAACGTTCATAATTCTGGATTATATCCTGGTTATTGTTATCGTTAACACCTGTACCTGCGCCAGCTCCAGCAGCACGATAATTAGCAATCATCAGATCAATTTCACTTTGACGTAAATTCGATAGAATTTCCGATAAAAATAATGCCAATTCAGAAATTTTATTTGCCAATTGATAAAGTTTGAAATTTTCATTGCGATGATAATCATGTGCTGATAATGTTGGTAACGGAGGGTTATTATTATCATTAATTTGTTGCTGTTGTTGTTGAATTTTTTCTAAATATGTTTCAAGCATCAGAATTTTTTGTTCATATTTTTGTCTTTCATTGAACCATTGTTCACGATTTTTTCTTAAATTCTCTCCATATTCTTCACGTAATAATTCTATACGTTCACGTAAATAATTACGTTCTTTACGTGTACAATCTAATTCTGAAAGAATATTTTCATTTTCATCACTTAATTCATTCAAACAATTGAAATAATCCTTTTCAAAATGAAAAAATTACAATTAAAAAACACAAAGAAAGAAAAAAAAATTCGCTAATTACCTGGCGAATAAGCTGAAATTTTTTCCTATAATCAGCATCCATATCGATAAATCGTTCATCATCATCCACCTCAGGTAATATTGATGAATTATATCGTGTACAATCTTTAAGACGATTAAAACTTGCCATAAATTCATCATCATCAAGATGATGGTCATGATTTTTCGATGTTAAAACATCTGTACCACGATGCGGATGCAGATCATTGTTGAGGAAGTTTCGCGGATGCGCATGAACATGGTGATGATTTTTGTTCATTGATGAAAGAATTAATCGTCGATTATCACCGCCATCGACACCGTGAAAATTATCATCCAAACTACCACCACCATCGATCAATTGTAGATTATCAATGCTTTTGGATAATAATAATGTACCACTGCCATCATCATCCGGATCATCGGGATCATTATCAACAACCGCTGAATATTTATTCAGATTACGATCATGATGATGATGATGATGAAAAAACCGATGACGGTTAAAATAGCCACGTTTAATACAATCAGCAACCGTATCTGATTCATTTGTTGTTGTTGATGATGAAATTGATGATGATGATGATGTTGTTGTTGTTGTTGTTGTTGTCGGTGTTATTGTTGTTGTTGTTGTTTCCGACATTTGTTGTTGTTGTTGTTTTTCAATAAATCTCGTATTACAATCAACAACAACATTCGTATCATCAACATCAGTTACGGTATTGAATAAATTGATTATTTCATCAATTTCATTATTATAATTTGGATTGAATTCATTTCGTGATGATAATGTTCGTAGTGGTGGCGGCGGTGGTGTTAATAATCTTAAATCATCATCATCCGTATCGCATGTTTGAAATAATTGCCATAAACGTTGTTTTTCTTCCGCAGTCAATGTCATGATTCATCGATTAAATCCGAATTTCAAATTTCATTGAAATTCAAGCAAATGATAAACATCAACAAGATCAAGAATTTAGCTCAATGACTCCCACTCTCATTGACTGTTTTTGTTCAGTTATTATTCTGTTCCAGAAACAAACAACGCATGTATGAACCTTGTGTGAATAATAAAAATTCTGCTAGAAATACTTTTGCCCTATAGAGTGTAGTAGCTGGTTTTAGTTGCTGCGTAGAGAAACGATTCATTTCTAGGACACCACAAATCAAACAAGAAATTGGAATGTTCCAGAATTATTTTCCATTCCAAAAGATGGATAGTGGAAGGTGGGGGAAAAAAATTCCAGGAAAAAATTTTTCAAAAGAAACATCCTCAAAAAGTTACCTTTCCTTCTATTAATTAATTAATGTAATTTACTTAGTGAGTAATGAGTGTGTAAATAGCCTTTTTTCTTACTTACTTCTCATTTCATTCAAGTTCACACGGTCAACAACTAGAAAAAAAGTGTCATCATTCTTTTTTCTGTCAAAGGATGGATGGATGACACATCTAAATGGTGTGTGTGTGTATTCGAGAAAACCAAAAGTTCAACGAACTTAGACATAAATTCAGGTAGAGAGAGAGAGAGAGAGAGAGAGAGAGAGAGAGAGAGAGAGATTTATTATATAACATATTTAACACAGAAAATTCCATGGNTTTTTTTTTCTGTCAAAGGATGGATGGATGGATGACACATCTAAATGGTGTGTGTGTATTCGAGAAAACGAAAAGTTCAACGAACTTAGACATAAATACAGGTAGAGAGAGAGAGAGAGAGAGAGAGAGAGAGAGAGAGAGAGAGAGATTCATTACATAACATATTTAACACGGAAAATTCCATGGATGGATTTCGATCGATAATCTTTGTTGATTGCAACCGGGAAAATATAAAATTCGGTAGCCAGAAAACTTGATCAGAAAAAAAATGAATATCAAGTTTTCCATAGGTAAGGGTCCATGTTAATTTACTTATGGCTAAATGTCATTTGACACCTTGATCATTTTTACTTAATCACAGTAAAAGTAATCGAAAATGTAACCCTACAGTAGCTTTAAAATGCTACTAGTTAAGCAGCCAGGTAATGAATAAAAAAAAATTTCTGAATGAACTTCTTCAAGCAGATTTTTTCTGTTTGTTTGTTTTTGTCTACTTGAACTACCTTGAATTACATCCATTGAATTGAATTGAATTGATTTCGTTTCAATAAACCTGGTGGTCAATGATATTATTGTGTTGTTGTTTTTCCCTTTGTCTGTGTGTGCGAATCAATTTTCCAGGTAATTTCCTTCGTTTCATTGAAAGGATATCGATCCACACATCAAATTTGATTCGATCTGATTGATTGATTGAATGTCAAGATTGTCATTGTCAAGAACCAAAAGCCGCATCATCATCTAACAAAACATCCTATAACAACAACAATGAAAATAAATAAAAAACGTTTATCATTCAAATTATCAATGATATTACAACCAACAACAGCAGCAACAATTTTCCTATTGGTAAGCATCATTTTAAAAACCAAACAAACAGAAAAAAAATTATTACCGAAAAAAGCAAACATTTTTCAAAATGCCTGATGAACCGTATACTACGGTATTTCATTACAATGATTATTCAATGCTCGATTAGATTTGTAATTCTATTATGGCTGATGACTGATGATTGTTGATGACTGATTGAGGGTTAAAATCCAATTCAATGATGCTTGAACCAACAAACACAGACAATGAACAACGCACACCTTGTAAAAATCTTCTTTTTTTAGATCAAAATGAATGAATTGATGGTGATTATGATCGATCGATTCTAAATCCAAGTAGAAAAACATTTCTGGAAAATTTCCTGAAAAAAAAATTCATAACGATGATAATTTGATATTCAAAATGATGTTTGTTTAAAAAATTATGAATTTTAAAGATGATAAACATCATCATCATCAAAAAAACAGCGAACCTGGGTGATGATTGAATCGAGAATCTTGTTGTTTGTTGTAGTTGTTTTTCGCACGAATTTAATTTCATCATGTTTTTTTTTATTTGATGGAAGAAATTATGTCAGAAAAAAAATTTTCCATTATCATCATCATCATTGTCAAATGGCCATTATCTTTGCAAAACAGCAACAACAACAACAACAACATTATCTAATTACATTTACGAATCCTGGGATTGGTCTCTCTCTCTCTCTCTGAATGAATGAATGAATAATGATTGGGCGCCAATCAAAACATTTGTTCCCAAATAATTCACAACAATCAATGACGATAATGATGATGATGATGATAGAAATCCATCAATCTGGGGTATAAAGATCTTGATCGATGATGATGATGATAAATGATGAATATTCGTGAATCTAAGGATGCAAAACTAGCAAGAAAAAAGGGTCATCATCATCATCGACAACATCTTTGAAAATCATTTTATCGTGCACTTTAGTTTGATCGGTTTGATCGACTAAATCATCATCATCATGTTTATCCGAAATTTTCCGTTTAATAGTTTTTTCCTTTTGATTCAGTTAAAGTTCAGGGTCGATTGAATTCTGTGTACCGATGTTGATGATGATGACGGTTTACTGTTGTTGATAATTCGTGAATGTAATTAAATTACATTTAACCACCGCCATCAACCACCGCCATTATCAAAGAAAATTTAAATTTTTTTTTTTTTGAAATGTACATTTAACCTTGACAACTTTTTAACCCTCAGTGTATTCGTGTGTGTGTGACTTCCTTGTGGTCAGTTTGATTGGAAAATCAAAATCAAAGGAACAAAAAATCACATGTCATCAATTTGAAAAGCGATTTTTTTTCTTCTCTGAGAGATTAGTTTGGAGGGGTTAAGTTTTTTTGCAAATTTTAAACGATGATTTAAAGGAATATCACACACGCACACAAACATCAAAACTTGACCTTTTTTTTCCCTCTATTTGAATATGTTCTGACCAATCATTAAGTTGTCACAATCAAGAGAGGGGAGAGAGGGGGAGAAACAAAAAAATACACACAATGTATAAATTGAATTTTAAAGTTTTTTTTTAAAATGTCCAAATTTGTTTTTTTATTAACCCTCCATTTCTTTCTTTCTTTTTTACATCCCATTAATCATCATCACTTGATGATGATAGATTCTTTTGGCTTTAAATTTAGCCAATTGTAATCGTTTACCATTATCAATTGTCGATAATGTTCAACAACAACAATTGACAAAAATTATTCAACAACAACAACAACAACCGGTAGAAAATAATAATAATGGTAGCTATAATAATAATGGTTTTGATCGACAGCAGCAGCAGCTAAATTCAAAGCCACAACAACAACAACAACAACAACAACAGAATCAATTTCAATGTAAGTCAAATTGTGAACAATTGAACAATTCCGTGATGTAATGATTGATTGATTTTCATATTCAATATTTTTTTTTTTGGTCTAGCATCAATATCATGTGGACAATTTGAATTTTATGTACAATTAACATTTGAAAAACCATTTAAAGGTTTAGTTTATGCATATAAAACATTGAAAAATATTGATAATCAACAACAACAACAACAACAACAACAACATGGACAACAACAACAACAATATTATGGAAATTATTATTATCCAATTGAAATATTAGATTCATGTACAATACGTGGTAATGGTGAATCAATCATTTATCTAGAATTATCATTTCTAAGTGAATGTGTTGAAAAATTGTTGTTGAATACGATGATGAATGATGGTGGAAATAATCATCAAAATGATGATAATAATAATAATACAGATGTACAATCGGATAATCATTATGATCAAACATCATCATCAACCGCATCAACAACATCGACATTGACGGATGATAATGATGATGATGATGGTAAAACATCATCATTGATGAATGATGGTTTTATCAATACGCATGTAAGTGATTTTTCTCTCTCTGCCTTATTTGTCAATCAATCAATCAATCAATCAATTTTGCTGTATCGTTTTTTTTCAAAAAAAAGACAATCAATCTAGATGGATTCAATTTTCGTCGTGCATTATTATCAAATAATAATAATAATGATATGTTACAAATGAATAGCTATTATCAACAATATTATCGACAACAACAACAACAAGTTGATAAACAACAACAACAACAAATCGATAAACAACAACAACAACAATTAAATATAAGCAATGATGATTTATATCAATTATCATTATATATACAAAATGATCCAAAAATTGAACAAAAATATGATAGTAAAATTTTTATACAATGTTCATCAAAATTAACAAAAAATATTTTATTTGAACAAAATTCAAATCAAAATGATTATTATTATCGTAAGATTGATGATAATCAACAATCAAATATTAACCCTGATGGCGATGCGTCAACGAATGGTGATAATGATGGCAAAAAGCGGCAAGAACCATATGCGGCAAAAGTAAGTCAATCGCAACAGCAATTGCAACAGAGATCAATAATGCCATCAGCAAATTTAACAATAACAACTATTTATGATTATTACCAACAACAACAACAACAAATCGAACAACAACAACAACAATCAAACAACAACAACAACAACAATAACCAGGATAAAATTGATATAACTAATTTGATTGAATCAAGAATGGATATACTTCGTGGACGTATACCATTTTTAAAATTAATTGATAATAATGTTGAACTGGGTGATGATGTAACATTGATTATACGTTCAAGACAATTAGGTAATGTTAACCCCAAAATATGTTGATGAAAATTTGATGATTTTTTAACCCCTTTGTTTCTTCTTCGAATCGAAAAGATGATTATGATTCAAGAATATCAACATGTTATGCATATGATGAACAAGATACAATGCGTTATGAATTGACTAATCAAGATGGGTAAGTTTTTTTTTCTTGTAAAGTTTCCCGCAAGTTTTTTTCACTCAATTAGTTCTTTGTTCAATATGGAAATTTTAAGGAAAAATTTCAAAATCAAAGGATTTTCATTCTTTTTTCTTTAAAAAGTTCAAGTTTCTTCGGGGCAAAAAAAAAATCCAAATGTTTGTACGTTGAACAACAACAATGTTTTTTCATTGTCATTCAAAAACAGAAAACCAGGAAGAACAAACACACACATAATCGCTGTTCATTGATAAAGATGCTTAGTTTTTTTTTTGCTTGAAAAACTACAAAAAAACTACAAAACTAGATGACAATACCAGAAGTTGTTGAAAAGATTTTTTTCTTCGATAAACAACAACGACGATTATGATGATTGAATTGAATTTCCAATTGATAAGTTGTTTGTCTTTATGTCAAGCAAGGTAAAAAAAAACTTACATAATTCAATCAATGGAGAATGTATTTATCTCTGGTTTGGTTTTTTTGGTTTTATGGTTTTGTTGATCTATTTATTTACCTGTTTAAAAAGTTTGGTAATCGTTTTTCACTCTGAAAATTTGAAAAAAATAGAAAAAAACAAACAAATGTTTGTTCGGTGTTTGTTCGTTCATTTCGAATAATCATCGTGAGAGAATTATGATGAATGAATGAAAAACTTATTGATTGATTTTTGGAAATTTTTCAGGGAAGTTTCCCGGAAAGTTTCCCGGGAAATTTCTCGAAAATTTTGAATTTTTTAAAAGTTTTTTTTATGAAAACATATTCATGATTAATGATTATGATGATGATGAACGAAAAAACTTTATTGGCCTACTGAAAATTAGCATCCAACAAACAACTGAAAGATTGAATCACTTCTTGATTTCTTTTCCTTCATTCGCAAAATACTGATTTGACTTCTTTATTATCATAATGATGATATTTTCCTGGTTCTTTTTCCCCTCCTGATGCTGAATATTAAATGAAAAAGGATTGTTCATTTTACTCCAGAATGGCCATGCGATCATCATCATTTTTCTAGAAAAATGATGTCCAAATCAATCAATCAATCAATCTCAAACTAAGTGAATATCTTTCAGCATCAAAGGTCAGGTGTAAATTAATCTAATATTCATTCATCAATCGGTTCAATTATTGATTGAAAAATCGTGTCTTGGTGAAATGATGAAACATGGATAATGATGATGATGATTGATGAATTGATTTCTAACTTTGAACATTTTAAAAACTCTTTGAATGAATGAATGGAAAAATTTCCGTAAATGTTTTTTTTTTGTTCTCCACTATTCATTTTTCAGAGATGGAGAGAAAAGGGTTTATGTTTCGATGTTTCGTTTTTCATTGTTTTCGGCCAAATTTTGTCTACGGTTTTTCTCTCAATCAATCGAATCAATCGACTGATTGATTCGATTTAACGATTCAACGCTCGCTTAGCAGCTGTTGTTGTTGTTATTCATTATCAATCAACTAATTGATTGACAAATTATCGATTTTTTTTTGATTGAAAAGTTGGCAATAATTATAGGGGGTTAAAAGAGCTTTTGTTACAAATTCATTGTAATTGATAGGTGCATGACACATTGGGATTTTGTTTTGTTTGAAATTTTAAAACTTTTTTTTTGTTTTGCCTTTTTGCCTTTTGAATTAACCAGATGTCCAGTCGATTCAACCGTAATGCAATCATTCAAAATAATGCATAATGTTGGAACCGAATCAAAAGTTTATTATACAACATTTCCGGCATTTAAATTCCCGGGTAGTCAATATCTTAATATACAATGTACATTATTGGTTTGTAGACAGATTTGTCCAACGGTAAGTTTAAAGATTTGAATTTTTTTTTCGTCTAATTAATTTCTCTTACCTAATTAACCCAACAAAGCCTACTTGTGATCATCACCACAATCAACAACAACATCCGAATCGAAATGGATGGTGAAAAACGAGGGAAAATTTCCCGTAATTATGGATGGTGGGAGAAATAAAGAAACTTTTTCGTAAATTTTGGGCAAAAAAAACTAATGGCAAATTATCTTCATTAAATTATCAATTTTGAATTTTCATTTTTTATTTCTTTGAATAATTAAAAAAAATAAAATTTCGTTTTTTTCCGTCGATTAAGATGTGTTGATTATATTATTAAGTTTTACGGTGTTTGTGTGTGGCCCACGATCAATCAATCAATATCCGATTGTAATTGATTGATTGATTGATCATTGATAAATACCCGGGCTATCGATTATTATATTCAATTATCGATCTTTAATTCAATCAATCCAATTCTACCCTGTTTCTCTCTCTCTCTTCATTGATAAAAAACAACCCGACAAACCTTTATCATCATCATCAATAAGAATCTACCCCTTTTTTTCTCTCTTTTTTATCCATCCACCATTGTTGATCACGTTTCTCGTGATCAACAAATTTTTTTTTCAATTTCGCAACAGGTAAAAGGTTATTTTGTTGCATGAAATGAGAGAGAGAAAAAGAGAGAATTAGAAAAAAAGGGTAAGAGTCAAGCTGTTTGCTTTTTTTGTTTGTCTATTAACCGTTAACCGTACCCGTTTGTACCGTTATATCTGGCTTTAAAGGGTGTGTGTTTGTGTGTGTGAGGGTGGTTAGCCAGGTAGGTAAGTGGGTAGGTAAATTGGATGATGATAAGAGAGAGAGAGAAAAAGATTCTCATCATCATTCAAGAAACATCCAAACTAAAAGAATGATATTTAATCAACGGGAATAAAACTCATTTCCATTCCCGGTTGGATTTATTCCATTCGAAACATCATCAAAAAACTGCAGAATCTTTCCAGAAGTTTTTTATTTCCAGAAGTTTTTTTTCAACGAAAAAACAAAGAAAATTTTTTTATTATCAAAGTTGTTAATGATGATGATGATAAATGTGTGATCAGTGTCTTCAGAAACTCCATAAACAACAACAAAAAAACGGAAGCAAAAAACCAAAAAATTTTACGATCTTTTGTCCTGTCATCGACCAATTGAATTTACAGAAAAGTTTCCCGAAAACCAAGAAAAACAATGACATTGACCATTCGCTAAAACACCGATGATAATGACGATGTCGATGATAATCCGATTTCAAAATTAATCGTTAATAATAATTCAATTTTTTTGTGTTTATTTTGGTGATTACATCAATTTTTTTTTTCGGGAAATTTCTACAGAAATTCTTCTAATTTTTTTCCAGGAATAATTCTGGTAAGTGGAAAACAGAAAAAAAACTTTGATTATAATCATCATTATCATTATTTTATTTGGTTACATTACGCTTTTAATGATAATGATTTTCTTTTTCAAGGTAATTTGAACAAAATTATAAGAGATGTCATTAGTTTTAATGAGAATCATTACAAATTATCACACACACACACATTACCACTAATGTTGTTTGATGCACCAAAAGATTTTTCCCATCATTTATTGATGAAAAAATGTCCACGGACATTTACCACAAAAAATTATCATCATTATGATAATTTCAAACAAAAGAAAACAAAACAAATTCCCGAAATTAAGGAAATCGAAAAAGCTCATTTTTTTTATCGAGCATAAAATATATCGATTGTATCGATAGTGATTCGAACATCAATTTTTTGTTAACATTCGATTTTTTTTTTACATATGACCAATCGTCAATTGAATTCAATCCATTAATTGTTTTGCAAATGATAATCGATAAAAAAAGTTGAATTGAATTTTTTCGATAAAAAAAAGAAGAATCCCGGAATGATGAAAAATCATTTTTCGTCGTTGTTGGTTGTCCATTCAAAAAAACATGTGAATTTTGTTTACAATTTTCATTGTGTACCTGCCTCTTTTCTTTTCAATTGTCATGTTTTGTTGTTGTTGTCCTTTTGTCATGCTTTTCTACAAAACTTCTTCTGGGTGAATGTGTGATGATAATGGTAATAATCACACCATCACCGTGAACAACCAAAGAATAAAAAAATTGATTGAATGAAACATCACAAAAGTTTACACTAATTATTTATTATATTCAACTAACGTCTATTAATGTTATTGAATCTTCGAACACACCAACTGTGTGTAATTCAAGAATTGAATTTCAAAAAAAAAAATTTCATTCAAAGTTCAGGTGTCAATGTAATAAATGTAAATTCAAGTTCAAGGACGACGACGATGATGAAAGGATGGTCAATTTAAAATTTTTCAAATTGAAATTCAATTCAAGACACCCTTTTCTTGAATTCAAAAAAGACCGATGATAATTTTTTTCTTCAAATATAACGGGTTAGTAGTCATAGTAAAAATATCTTAAATCAGTCACAAACCAACAGCAGCAGCAGCAGCAAAAATTCAATCAATTTCTTTTGTTGTTGTTGTTGTTGTTGCTTGACCACATAAATGACTGACTAATTAGATGGTTGTGATCTTTCTCTCTGTGTGTGTTTGTTTGACCAGAAAAATTGATTGGTGATTTTTTTCAAGGTCAATTCAAATGGACATCACCACCAATGATAATCAAATGATGATAACGAAAAATACAATTGAAACCATCGATACTCGATACACCAGCCAGCCAGCCATAACTATGATTTCCTCTCTCTCTGTCCATCTAGATAATTGATTGTTTTTCTTTTAATTTTTATCTTTTGGTTACCATCACCACCACCACCACTATCATCATTATGATTAAGTAGATCTAATTCTGTGTAATGAATGTTGTTGTTGTTGTTGGTCAGTCAGCTAAAGCAACTTCCTATCTTTTTTTTGTTTATTTTCATTTCATTTCGTTTTTCTTACCCTATGATCAACAATATACTAGAAACAATTATAAAATTATATAATAATAACAATTAAAGAAGAAAAGAAAAGAAGAAAAAAATGTGTAACACGGAAGTGTATATAACCTCTTTGAATAATGAACCCTTTTTTTAAACTTTTTTTTCAGATTTTGTGGTTAATTAATTAAAATTTTACAGAAAATCAGAAAATTGTTTCTCATTACACCTGGTTGCAGTAGCAAACCGTGATTGGTTAACAGTTTTTTATTTTTTTTTGAAACAAAGAAAGATTTTCAGTTTAGAAATTCATTGATAATGATTATCTTGTTTCTTTTTCTATCTAAAATTTTAGATTCAATAGACGATATACCAACTAGAAAAAAATGGCATCTAAATATCAAATCAAATCAATCATATTGATTATTTTGTTTATCATCAATATTGTAAATGTAAGTTGATTGATTTGGTTCATTTTTTCCTCAAAATTTCCAAATAAATTAATTTTTTCCCTTGCATAGTTTATCCAAACAGATAATCAACAAAATAATGGTGGTGAATCATCGTATTATAAATCGGCAAGATTAACAAAAGAATTTTTACCTATTAATATTTCAATGGATACATCAAATTCAATGGATGATGATAATAATATTATTCCAAATATTACTGATTCAAATGGATCGATTATGATGATAACAACAACAACAAATCCAATTTTATCAACTGAATTGAATAATAATTTAAATACAGATACCGTTATTATGAATTCAAATGTTCAAAGTGATAATAATGTAACATCAAATCAAACATTCATTTTACCAATTGATTTATCCGCATCCGCATTAAATAATAATGAAAATCGTCTGCGATGGATAGATTCAGGACGTCATCAAGGTTTTCCACCATATATGCCACCAGTTGCCGGTATTCCAAGTGGATTTCGTAATCCATTAATAACATCATCAACAACAACAACAACTAAAACTATGGCACCAATATCATCATCATTCCCGGCAATGATAACAACAACTGAAGCTTCAATCGAACAACTGAATTATAATAATATTCCAAATCAGAATTTTCTTATGACATCATCCGATTCATCGTCATCATCATCGAATTCAATGACATTTGGTTCAATTGATGATGATTTTCCATACAGTACACCTATGACATCTGTAGGACGTTTAAATATAACGCGCGTTGAACGTATGTTTTTTTTTAGATTTTTATTTTGAAAATATTTACTTAATTTATGTGTATTTAGATATTGTTGCTGAATGTTCAGATGAATATATGAAAGTTGTTGTTCGTTTTAATGGAACATTTACTGGTCTTATTTATAGTTCTGGTTATGTTCATGATCCAAAATGTATTTACATTAATGGATCTGGTCGTAGTCATTATGAATTTTTTATTCGTTTAAATCAATGTGGTACATTAGGTCGACAAGAAATGTATCATCCATCAATGCCCGGTGAAGCACGTAGACGTGATCATTTAATGTGGAATACATTATCAATTCAATATAATTCATTGATTGAAGAAGAATTTGATGAACATTTTCGTTTAACTTGTGAATATGGTAGTGATTTTTGGAAAACAGTTTCGTTTCCATTTGTTAATGTTGAGTAAGCAATCAACACAATATATGTTGTTCGAATTGATATCATCAATCATTGTTATTTTTTTTTTAATTTCAGAGTCAATACTGGTAGTCCGGTCGTGTTTACTATTAATCCACCACAATGTCAAATGGAAATTCGTCGTGGATTCGGTATTGCTGGAACACGTACTACAGGTCCGGTTACTGTTGGTGATCCATTAACATTGTTGATACATATGAAAAGTGAAAAAGTTGGTTTTGATATTTTGGTTAAAAATTGTATAGCACATAATGGTGCACAACAACGATTACAATTAATTGATTCGAATGGATGTGTTACGAATGAAAAACTTATCAGTCCATTTCGTGGTACATATAAAGCTGATAATGGACATCAGGTCAGTTTGTTTGCCTATCTAAAAGCATTCAGATTTACTGGATCATTAGCATTATATCTTGAATGTGATATTCATATGTGTCACAATCGTTGTCCGGTAAGTTTATTTGGAAATTTTTTTTATTTTTCATATTTTCATTCTATATTATTCATTTAGCCACAAAGATGTTATTGGCGAAACTTATCGAAACGATCGGCAAAACTTCAAAGTTTTGATTCGGTTCTGAATACAACCGCAACACCGATATTATCGGAAAGTATTTCGTTGGTACAAGCACTTGAAGTTCATCATGATCAAGATGATGAAACAATTTCTCAATCAAGTAAAGGTAAAATTTTTAATTTATCAATGAAAACTATTCAATACAATTGATTGTTTTTTCGTCTATCTCAGCTGAACTAGATAAACAAAATGAAGAATTGGTTTGTTTACGGCCTGTCGGTATTATTTTGATGATATTATTTCTAATGATATTATTAACAATATCATTGGGTACATCTATTCGTTATTGGATACGAATGAGAAAATTAAAATGTTTACAACATAGTTTACAACATAATGATTATCATAAATCAACATTATTGTCTACGCCAACATCATCATCATCGTTAGATTATCGTAATCATCATCATCATCATCAACAACATAATCAATCGGCAACAAATACACCACAAACCATACGTTCAATGAGTGATTTTTCCGATACTCCAAGTTCGGTATCCGTATTTCCGTATCGTGGCCGTTTTTGTAGATTTACTTAGGATAATGAAGATTTTTATTCAAATTTGATCAAAATTTCGAATTACAAATATTGTATACAAAAAAAATATTTATTGGAAAAACATATCGCGAACACATTACCAAACACATATATTTGATTTATGCATCTCTTTTTTATTAGCCGAATTATTCGAATAATCATCATCTTTATAGGATCTCGGGTTCAATTTCATATAGGATACATACATACATACACCATATAGACATAATTATATTTCGGGTTTTTTATCATTAACCTTGTGTACCATAGAAAATGCTATGCAGTGAAGATCACTTTTCATGGATGGGTCTCTTTTTTGGTCGAAATGGGCCATCACAATTTTTAAATTTTCTAATCAAAAAAATTTTATTAATATCCTATTATAATTTATTTATTTATTTTATCATATATCATATTATGTATTTGTGTGTATTTGAAAAAAATAAGAATTATTTCAACAACAAGTTTTTTTTTGGAAAGAAAAACGAGAAAAAAGAAAGAAAAACAAAAAACAAAAAAGAAAGAGTTTCGATCCGCTAAGATTAACCAATGATCGATCGATTGATTGATTTAAGTGTTGATTGTTATTATATTCATATTCTTTGTCAACTTTGATTCAATCTCAGTTTTCTTTCTCATTTCGAATAAATCAAATCAATCAATTGTTGCTGGACTGGTTAATCGAAAAGCGAAATCGGTTGTTGTTTTTTTTCATACAAATATCGACAGCTTAAAGTTGAGACACATAAGAAGAAAAAATAAGATAATCATCAATTGTTATATAGATAATATATGATATTTCATGCATTCAGTGTGCTTTGTAATTGGAGAGAACAAAAAAAATATTGCCCAATAATATAATCCAAAACTAGAATAAGTTTATTATTTCTCTGCTGTGAGATGATTTCAGACATATTAATCCCGATGAATTGAACAAATAAAAATAACGATCATTGAACCGCATTGATTGATTGATTGATTGCTAGGTTTTAATATTTTTCGAATACTTTGGATTGGAAGGCATCTGAACAAATGATCGTAGTTCATATGGTGCACCACCATTCATTGTAGCTACATCTAGATCATGTTTACGGAATACTAATATCCGTATATCCGTATGTAAACGTATACGACCAGATTTGGAACTTTGAAACCTTTTGAAAAGAGAAAAAAAAATAAACACAAACAATGGAGAGAAAATAAAGCAATTACCTGAGATGGATGAGGTAACGTAACCATTTACGACTATCTGGATGATGTTCATTGGCATCATTTGGCATAAATAATGTACGTTGTCGTAAAAATGTACGACAATTTGGTGGCATATCCGAAAGATCATAACGTACAACAAACATTTTTACCACAGTTCCATTTGGATTGAATAATGTCTAAAAAAGGGAAAAAATTTCCATTATATTTAAATATTATCATTATTCAAGCTTGAACAAACAAAAAAAAACTTACCACCTGTACAGTTCCTTGTCTAGGTACATGATATCCTTTTTCACCAAGATTGATATGGCCCTAATGTTGTTGTAAATGAAAATATAATGTTTATAATAGAATTACAATGGATGATGATGATGATCATCCTAACATACCAAATATGGTGAAGACATTTTTTCTCCTTTATCAGTATCTTGCAGTGTATAGAAAAATACAGTGACAGGAAATGTTTTATGTGATGGACAAAAACCACCGCTAGCACCGATTTCGGCTGAAAATCCATGTACAATACTAGCCGGATCAAGACGACCATTCAATACCGATTCCTAAATGATTCCCCAAATCAAAATCATTAATCAATGAATCATAGAAATCCAAAAAATAGAGTTACAAACCTCAAAATTTCCAAGTAAACCACTAGTAGTAGTTGTTGTAGGAGCTGAAAGACTTAGTTTAGATGAACGAAGATTTGGATGATGATAATCATCATCTTTTCCATCAGGATCTTTATGAAAAAGAGCTCTGTATTTGAACAAAAAAAAAATCGATCAATCAATAAAATTAGTTTTTTTTCTGTTTGTTCATTTTCATTGAAAATTTTTTTTGCTTACTTTTTAATTGCATTCACAGATGTAAGAGAACTGTCAAAATCGAAACAAGTTCCAGATTTACGAATTGGTGCCTATATTTGAAATTTATCAAAAACAAAAACAAAAACAAATAAAATTAATCGATTATCGAATGGGCGCGCGCAGCATTGTTTATTATGCACATTATCAATCAACACACAATTAGTCAGGGTTTTTCTCCAACAACAACAACAACAAAAATTCAGCCAAAAAAAATCAATGAATTATGATTATAACATTATGATTTTCATAAATTGATAATTTTCAATGGGAAAAAGAAATGATAGTAATCATAATAATCGCCTACACTTAATTACTTTTTTTTACACACACACACAAATTACCTTGTAACTTTGGAACAATTTCAAGTTAGTTATACTTAGCAATCATCACCTTTGTCGTAAATCTTTTTTTTTGTTTATAAATGTTATCCACTATTTTAAAGCCATTAAGAAAATTATTCAAAATCATCATTATAATGGAAAAATTATAAATCCTGTCAATGAAACATACACACACACACATATGGCTTTCCCTGAGTATTATCTTTTCTAGTTTCAATATCCTTACCTTAACAACAACAACAATTTAAACATTCATTTTCTACCTTTTTTAAATAATGATATTCTATTCGTGGCCAAGGTGTTCATCATTGGATTGTTTGATCATCATCATCATCAAAAAATGAAATATTGTATTTTTTATTATTGTATACATTTTCCCTTCAACATTGACATTTCTATATAAACAAAAATTACTATGCGCAATGATAATGATGATCGGATGAAACTTAAGAGTTAGGAAAACAAAACAAAACAAAAATCCAAGGATACAACATTGTAGTTGTAATGAAAACAAAAAACAAGCTAAAATGGATAAAATAATCAAAATAAGGATTTAAACAAAATACAATAAGAGAGAAACAATTGAATCTTTTTTTTTTGCTACTGCAATCTGATATGGTCTGAATACAAAACTGTTCATTTCTCAAAAGCCATTTCGAATAAGATGTTCCAGAAAGATGTATGGTTGAGAAATAGAAAATCAATTTTTTTTGTGGTCATTTTCTAGCAATATTGAAATACTGATTATGCGCAACCAGAATCTTTAAAATTGAAATTTTTTTCCTTACAAACTTGAAAAAAATTGGTTTTTTTCAATCAAATATAAATAAATAAGGCTTGTTCACTTAGCTTCTTTTATATGTTTATGTTTCACCTTGAACACATAAAAAATTTCAAGTTCTCTTGCAAATTGGATTCGAATCATATCGAATAAAGTAGATAGTCAACCATCATTCTCAAAATTATAAAAAGATGACAGAGTCAATGTGAGAGTGAGAGAAACATTGTGAAAAAAAGAGAGAAATATAGTTCAATGTAATTAGGTCAAACCTTTGCTATATATTTATTCAGTGTGTGTGTGTGCGTAAGTGTTAACACATTGAAATCATTCATTCTACCATCATTATCATCATCAAATAAAATCATTAATAAAATCATTTTTGAATTGGAAAATCATTCCTGGAAGAAGAAGAAGAAGAAGAAAAATCCTAATGACATATTGTATTTTTTTATGACAATTTCATTTCATTTTTTATTCCTTGACCTATACGCTGTAGACAAACACACAAAAATGCCAACATCATTTCCCAATATTTTTTGACAATCGTTATTTGCTGTCATTTATCACATATAGATCACACACACACATATGTTTTTTATCCAATTTCTATTACAATTGTTATTTTGCACCAGCAAAATAACAAAAAGAGAGAAAAATAAATAAGCCATTTTCAATGATGATAAAAATATTGGATATGAAAAACAAACTGTCAATAACAACAGCATGAAATAACATGAAATGGTCTCTTTTTTCTTAAAAATAAAATTACCCCAAATCAACAACAACAACAACAACAACTTTCCAATTCCTTCTTATTATGTAACCCAGAAAACAGTAAATAATGCCTCACACTCAAAACAGAAAAAAAATTGTTTATGAAACTTGAAACAAGAAGAAAATAAAAAAAAACCTTGATAATGATGATGATGATGAAATTGGTCAGTGATTAACATAAATAATCAATTGAAATGGAAAATATTTTCAAAAATGTAATTTCTTAATCAATTTTCTTTCTGTTTCGTTTTATAATCATGATTTAGTAGTAGTAGTGTTTCTCTATCGATAGTTCTCGATACCGGAACAAAGTTTTATGTTTTTTTTACTTCTCAAATAAAATGAATCATGCCAAAAGCTAATTTAAAACCATCTTCAACATAACCGAACCCATCATCATCATCATTATAGTCGTTGAATGAATAAAAAAAAACAAAATTTTCATTCAAATTAATGATCCTAATTTGATAATTCAACTTTTTTTCTCTCCACAGTTTATTATCAAAAGATTTTTGTTTTTCGGTGACCAATGGTCAATAATAATTAGGGATAATAAAATTATAGATAAAAACAACCAAAAATCTATTCAATGGCAATTAAGCTGATTATTTTATCATCATGTATTTTTACATATAAATTTTTCTTCTTATTCAAAAAAACAAAAAACAAAAAAATCCCTATAGGGCACCATCGAAATGATTTTAATTATAATGATGATGATGATGATCATCATCATCATCATTTCAATCTTTACGTCAACATTATAACTCTTCCTATTTTCCGTATCATCATCAAAAACAAAACGAAAAAGCATAAATTTAGGTCAACTTATTTCAACTATGAAAGTGAATTTTTTCTTTCTTTTTTCAAACAAATATCATCCTAAAATCTTTAAACAAAATAAAAAAATATACTTACAGGACTAGAATTAAGAGGAAGACCGCTTCGACGATGAAAGACTAATGTAGTTGCGCTATCCAGAGATCTTTGAAATTGTTCTTTTTCAGCTACCGTTGGTATTGTATATGTTATTGGTGTTGTCGATGATGATGATGGACCTGCAACAGCAGCAGCAGCTATATCATTTGACTTTTTAATTATATCATCAGTATTTTTTATTAAATTATCATTTGAATTTGAATGATTTTCAAATGATTCACAATTGCCATTTGTTTTGAAAGAATTTTCATTTGTTGACGTTAATGTTGTCGACGTTGTTGACGTCAGCATCGATGATGATGACGAAAATACTGGTTCATTATTCGTTTTTGATGACGTTGTTGTTGTTGATGCTGTTGTTGTTGACCATTTTTTCATCGAATAATCTGTATTACCACCATTACCAGCACGTTTTGGCCAATAACGATAATCATCATATGGATAGCGATTATGATGATTATGATGGTGATGATGATTATGATATAAAATTCGTTTATACAACGATGTTGATGATGACGATGTTGTTGTTGTTGTTGGATCCGGTAATATACCATCCAATGGTTTTATTGTTGATGATGATAATAATGAATCATCAACATCATCATCATCATCATTGTTATTATTCGGATCTCTATCAATATTTGTTTCATCATCATCATCAAGCATTGTAACATTTCCATCATTATCATTCTTGCCATTATTATTATTATCATGTTGTTGTTCAATAATTGTTTCCATTTCTTCATCATCTTCGAAAATTTTTTGTGTTGAAATCGATGTTGTTGATGGTAATGATGATACGGTTATATTTTTTACTTCCTTATGTAAATTACAATTACTACTATTACGACTATTACTATCATCATCATCATCCATTATATTAGTAGAACCATTATCATTATTAATCGATGATATCATCGATGTTGTTGATGATGAAGATGAAGAAGAAGAAGATGATGATAATGGATCAACTTTACGTGTTTTTGTACGATATTCGACAATTAGATTACGCATTGTTCCACGTTGTTGTTGTTGTTGATTGAAACCATCATTATCACCCACACAACCTTTATTGATTTGTGAATGATGATGATTGTGATATAAATCCTGACATCTTAACTGATGATTTTGATTTTGATGTTGATAATGAATATTATTATAAGGATTATTATGATGATGATGATGTTGATATTGATTCTGATAAGTTGAATAATAAGAATTATATGAATGTATTGTTTTTGAACGTGAACGATGACCACCACCATTATTACCACCACCACCACCACCACTTTGATTACAATTACAACGATATTTATCAAATGTTCGATGATAAAATTGTTGTTGTTGTTGTTGTAATTGATTATTATTATTATTATTATGATAATGATGATGATGACATGAATGATGATTTGTTGTTGTTATATCCTGTGTTAAACTTAATGGTCTTTTAATCGATGATCTTGATAATAATGGAAATGTATTTGAATTATAATAACGATTATCATTATTGCTATTAATTATTGTTCCTGTTTCAGTTGTTGTTGTTGTTGCAGTTGTTGTTGTTGTTATTGCTTGATTACCAATCATCATCATCATCATTGATGATTTTGATTCTTCATCAATAATATCATTGATTGATGTTGAAATTGCTGATGCTATTGTTGATGATGATGATGATGATGATAAATGAGATATTTCATTTATCGTTGTTGTTGTTGTTGTTGGTGATGATGATGATGAAACACCACCAATATTTAGACCAGTCAAATTTTTTGCTGTTGTTGTTGTTGTTGCTGCTGCAACATCTTTTCCATGTTGATGCATCTTGATTTATTGTTGGTTGTTTGATCTAATTCTTGATCAATTATCACTCTATTTTTTTTTGTTGTTGTTGAAAATATTGCATTAAATGTATGTGTGCTTAATATGTGCGCGTTGTGTTTGGATATTTATATTTCAGTCAGTCATAATAGTCGAATCACAACTAAAAAAAGAAGAGAAGAGTGAGAGAGAAAAACAAAGAAATTTTCTTCATTGGTTCCAGGATTTTACCAAACATGAATCATCATCATTAACCAAATATATACAAAAAACATTCTCTTCTTATCATTTCAAACCAAAACACTATACGCACACATAATTTTTGGACTAATAACTATAAGGAAACAAAGATAACAAACACACACCATCATAATCAATTGAACATTATTGAAACAAGCAAGCAAGTCATCATCATCATCAAATTATCATTATTATCATTATTATCATTATAATCAATGTGGTGGTCCATAAATGAAAAAAAAGTTTGCTGATGATGAACCCAAATCCAAAATTTAAAAGAAAAATCAAAGTTCAAAATTCAATTTCTTTTACACACACACACACTTTTTGTCAACAAACACACATATAACATGATGGTGTAACTTCATGCTTGCTATTATTTCTTGATGATTAAATCTTCATTTTGGATGACCATGATGATTGAATATATAGAATATGGAATGACCAAATTGATTGATCATCATGGTCATCTTGTTGTTATTGCTGTTGTTTTCGTTGTTGTTGATCAAATATATTGATCAACCACAAATATTCAATAGCTATGATGATTATTATTATCATTAACGTAATATCATTTTGTTTTTGTTGTGGTTTTGTTTGTTGATAATCATCCAAATCATCAAACAGACGACAAAATAATTGTCGATATTGATTATTATGATGATAAGAATTTTCTTGTTGTTTCTTGATTTTGTTACCAATAACAACAACAGGAAAATTATCAGTTATTATATTTCTAGTTCTATCCGTTGTTGTTGATGTTCGTGTTGATATGATAATATTATCATCATCTGATAATTTGATCGCTGTTAAATTTTCGTTGTTATCGTTGTTTTTCAATTCCGGTTGTTTTCGTTGTTGCTGTAATTGATTATTGTTAAATTCGCCAATATTTTTGTAGGTTATATGATTATAATGACTGTTATTTTGTTGATCAAAAAGATTATTTATTTCCATAAAAATATTTAGCATATTTTTTTTGCTGTTTCACACTGTGTTGATCAGATTCGTAATGATTATCAGATCTATAACCAAAAAGGTGGAGAAAAAATGTAACAGAAGAATGTTGATAAGGCAAACATTAACAAAACAAAAAAAAAATTCATACAAAAACAAACTTACTTTTTGTTGATTTTTTGGGTTGTGATGGATTTAGGTTGGATCACACACACTAAACATACACACAGAAGAAAAAAGCAATTCAGTGAAGATAAATATTTTCGATTTGATGATGATGATGATGATAATCAGTTAATTCGATGTTGATTCAATGATGGCCAAAAAAAATGTGTTGTGCAAGACAAAATTAAAAAAAAAACAGCAACGACGACAAAGTTTTTCGAAAACAAGATTTTCGTTCGTTCTCTTTTCGTTTCACAAAACAAAATCGTTTCCTTCTATCTTTTCAAACGAAAAAGTTTCTCTTTATTTTTCACCTGCAACAAATACACAACATACATTGACGAGTTTTGAGTTTTGCAACAAAAAAACTGATTTAGGATGATTGAAAACAAAAATGAGAGAAACACAAAGAGAGTGAGGAAAAAAAATTGTTTGATAATGTTTTTTTGCTGTTCCAGAAAACAATATTCAATTTCTACATCTACTTTTCTTGATTGATTGATCGATGATTGAGAAAAAGGCCAGAAAAGATTCTTTGAATTTTGATTTTGATTTGAAACAAAATTCTTGATGAAATCGATGATGATGATGATGATTTTGGTTTCAATTTGAAATATTTTCTTCTTTCTCTCTCTCTGTTGTTACATCAACCAACCAAACCAAACAAAACAAACTACAATCTCTCATATGATGATTTTCCAGGACCTTTTCTATTTTCTATTTCTCTCGTTGCAGTATTATATATGGTAAATTTACTTTTTCTTTCTCACTTTTTTTTCAATGAACAATATTTATATTTTTGCTGACGATATTTTTTTTCATCACACAACCACCAACAATATATATTTGATGTATACACATGCAGAGAGTACTCTATATTTTATATATTTGCCAAAATGAAATACTGATTTCCTTCTTCTATCATCATCATCATCATCATGTACATCAAATGCATCAAAACAGACTACCACCACTATTTTTTTCAAATCAACAACAAACAACAATCCAAAAAAGAAAGAAAAATCCCAAATAAAAAACTTTCACACACAGAAAGACTGTATATCCATTGAATTCATTCATATATGAAAAACATTAAAATACGCATGTCTAATATATGTTTAAATATCCACCACCACTACTATTATCATCATAATGATGATGAATCCATTTAAATTCCACATAAAATAGTTAAAGATTCGTTTGGGTGTGTGTTGTAGTAGCAATTGATTCAGAAAAAAAAGATGATAATGCTGGTGGTAAAACCAGATGAAAAACCAAAAACAAACCAGCTGCATTCATTGTATAGCAAATCAAAGAAAAAAAAAACGGAATGAAATAGGATTCTCAGATCTATCATTATCTTCTGTGTGTGTGTGTGAATCAAAAGCAACAAAAAAAAACAGACGATATTTCTTTTCAATTTCTGTCATTCATTCATTACACACATTATTGTTTAAATTGAATAGAATGCATGCAGAAGAAAAATAATTGTCAGCTGTTTTTTCTCTCATTGAAACAGAACACATTTATCTGCTGCTGCTGCTGCTGTAAACCAGAAAAAAAATATCAAGAATCAATTGAGAAAAACAAAAACTGGTGGTATACTTTCACACATAGAATACGAGGTCTTCCCCATATATGCTTAAGCTATGTGAAATACATGAATGACCTATCGGTAAAAGGTCAATAAATAAGGATATAGCTATTTCCTTCTTTTTATTTCACAAAAAAGGCCCTTAGCAACAACAAAAAACGACAATGAACAGACGACGAGAATGCAAGAAATAATAATAATGTGCATGCATGTTTTTTTTTCTCTGTTTTCGTGATTCACAATTCGATCAACATCATCATCATCATCATTACAATTTTTGAATAGAAATTCGACATTGTTCGGTGGTTGTTGTTGTTGGTCGTCATTATCGTTTGTTTGTCATTGTCGTATAGAGAAGAAGAAAAATATTTTAAAAAAAGAAAAGAAAATGAATTAAAAGCTAGAAAAAAACTGGATTTTACCTTCCAACTCCTGTTTAAATATTAGTTTTCTCCTTTTTTTTAAAAAAAAATAATCAAATTGTCGCTAGGCATTCAGGTAGAAACAAACAAGAAAGAAAAAGGAAAAAATTCCTATTTTCAATGGAAGAAGGATAAATGGAAAAAAAAGAATGAAAAAAATTTCAAGTTTAAACTTACCAATCAATCAAATGATGATGATATTTTACCAGCAGAATTTCATTCAACAAGATCGATTAGAGTTCAATCGATTTTTTTTTGTGATGATCCATAATCTTATAACATTCATGTGATCAATGCAAAAGAAAAAAAAAGTATTCACCAAACAAACAAACAAAATACCCTCATTTTTTTGCACTACATATACCCGAAGCATGATTCAATCAACTAAACACAAAAATTCTACGCACAAAAAATATTTAGCACTGATGATGATGATGATGATTACACACGAACCGAGGACAACGAACCTGGAACATATATAAAAACAACAACAACAAAACAAAAAACATACGCAACAAACAAACAATGGTAATTTGAAATGGAAAATGTAATAAACATTAAAACATTATGGATAATGATGATGATTAGTATCATTATAATTAAATAAAATTTAATGAAATCGAATTGAAAAAGTTTGATTTGATTTTCGGGTTTTCCCTTCTCCGATTAATCTGGTTTCATTTTCATTCGATCCGAAAACTAGCTATATACAAGATATGTCCTTACCTTTATTCAATGATCAAGTCCACCATGAAAATTTAATGAAAAATGGGAATTTTGTTGGCTTCGAATCAATGATTCATGATGATGATGATGATGATGATGCAATGCGATTTAATCTATGATGTCAATATATTCAAATACAGAAAAAATTTGCAATGATGAAATGAAAAACGTGAACGTCAAAATGTCATTATTGATGAAATGATTTTTGTTTTTTGAATTTTTTTTTGTTCGTTTTTTACTGAGAAAAAAACGAAACAAACAAACAAAATCGAATCAAAAATAGGAAGAGAGCAAAAAAAAATCGAACAAAAGTAAAGTGAAGGACAACATTGAAAATTATTATTATTATTTTTCGATATCGCGATATAATCGATGTTTATCATCATCATTGTTATTATTGAACAACATTTTTCTTTTCGTCGATTGATTGATTGATTAATCGATTATGGATGCAAAACAAAAAACAGGCGAAAAAAATCAGTTCGATGAATTTTTTTCTAATAAAAACAATATGCAATTGATAACACTTTTGTCGAGAGAAAAAAAAGAGAAAAATAACGATAATAACAAAATTCAATTTTGATACACACAATCACACATAAACAATGAATATAAATTTTGGTTTGTTTGTTTGTTTGATTCATTTGTAAACGACAAAATAATGAGAAATAATAATTGATAATCATAATTAGCCAATGTAATTAACATTATTCAAACAAAAAACAATAAACAAAAAACAAAAAACAATAAAAAAAGGATCAAAACACATAAATTGACTTTCGATACACAAAATCGAATCAAATTAACCTGTTTTTTTTCATCGTTATCATTGTTGTTATTGTCGTTCCATATTTCTCATATTTTCAATCTTACCATCGTTTTGTTAACCTCGAAAACCTCGAGAGAAAATAAAATTTCGAATTATTTATTATCATTCGATGATTCGATTTGCGCAATCGTTCAGGAAGCAGAACCAAAAAAAAAAAAAAATTCGAAAATCGACTTTTACGCCATCTGATGTTTGCATTTAAAACTTTTATTTTATTTTCATTTTTTTTGAAAAAATCATTAGCAACATTTTCAAACAATAATTGGAAAAAAATTCTTATAAAAAAAATCATCATTATTATTAAATAGCACCGGCCATCTGTGCGGATAATGATGGATTATTAACTTTTTCACCTAATGATTGTAGAATTTCTTCCCGATAATCATCAAAATCACCATCAATTTCTGCAATGGAATTATTTTCAATAACCCATAATTGACAATCAGTTTCACGAATCAAACGTTCATCATGTGTAACGACGATGACACCACCTTCAAATTCATTTATAGCTTTAGCTAATGCATCGATTGATTCTAAATCAAGATTATTTGTAGGTTCATCCAATATCAATATATGTGGTCCACGTAATGCCATTTCAGCTAATGCAACACGTGATTTTTGTCCACCACTTAACTGTCCATTTGGTATTGTATGTGCATGTGATATTAGACCAAATGAACCAAGTTGTTTACGTGCATCTTGATATGTTAGATTAAAAACACGCATCAGATATTCGGTTGGTGTTTCCGAACTGGGTAAATGTTCACCTGAATGTTGATCAAATTTTGCAATACGTGCACGATGATTTTTCCTCAATTCACCTGAAATTGGTTCAATTTCAGCTGAAAGTAATTTTAAAAATGTTGATTTACCAACACCATTTGGACCAACAATAGCAATACGTGATGACATATCGATACCAAAATTTAAATTTTTAAATATTAATTTATTCGATTCATAACCAAAATCAACATCATGTAGGCCAAGAATTGGTGGACTTAATGGTGGTGGATTAACAAATGTAAATCGTACCTGATAATCTTTTTGTCGTTTTAGCAGATTACTTTTAGCTTGATGATCACCAGCTTTTCTTGCTTGATGTTCTTTTATCTGTTTTTCAGCTTGTTTACTTGATTTTCCTGATTGTTTCAACTGTTTCAATTGTCGTTCTTGTTTATCTAATTCTTTATTAAATTCACGTTTTTTTTGTTCATACATTTTTTTAAATTGTGTATAATTTCCACGATAATAGAATAATTTTTGCCGATCTAAATGTATAATATCTGTACAAACATTATCTAAAAATGATTGATCATGTGATACGATTATTAATGTTTTTTTCCATTCTTGTAGATAATTATCTAACCAAATAACGGCATTTAAATCAAGATGATTTGTTGGTTCATCCAACAACAGTACGGATGGTTCCATAAATAATGCACGTGCTAATGATACACGCATACGCCAACCACCGCTAAAATTTTTCGTCGGTCTATCTTGCATTTCGGCTGTAACAAAACCTAAACCGGCTAAAATACGTCGTGCACGTGATTCAGCACTATCAGCACCGATTGCTTGTAATTCATCATAAATCTGTGTTATACGTTCAGAATTTTTTAGGCTATCCACTTTTGAAAGTTGATCTAATTCTTCCATTAATGCATCACGTTTTTTATCACTTTTTAAAACAACCTGTACGGCAGGCGTTTCATCAGCCATAACTTCTTGTTCACAAAGTAAAATATCCAATTCATTGGGTAAACGTAATGCACGTTTATCAGCAATATGACGTAATAATGTTGTTTTACCATGACCATTTGGTCCAACCAAACCATAACGACGACCTAATGTTATTGATAATGATGCATTCACCAATAATTCTTTACCAGCAGCACTCATTGAAAATTCTTCCACTTTTAATGCATTATCAACTAATGTTGCACCAGATGTTGAAATAGTAAAATTTTTATCCAATGTTAAACATTCTTCTAATTGTTGTTGTTCTTCTGCTTCACGTGCTTTTTGTAATTTTAATTTTCGTTTTTCTTTATGTGTTAATTTTGTCATTTTATTCGTTACATCATCCATTGATTTATCAACATTTTCTTGTTGTTCTTCATTATCATCATCCATATCAATATCATCTTCATTATCGTCGATGACGACTGGTTTTGGTGGTTCTTTGGTCACCTGAGATTTTGAATCACCTTTTTAATTCAAAAAAAGAAGACTTTTTAAAAACAATGAAATGAGCAAAGAAAACTCACCTTTATTATCTTTTTTATTCTTATTTTTCTTTTGTTGACCAATTTTCTTTCCAATTTCATCATCATCATTGGCTAAATCTTCAGCCGTTATAATTGATGGTACTTCATCATCATCATCGTTTAAAAAATCAAATCGATTACTTTTCTTCTTTTTAGGCATTGTTGTTTTGTTTTTTCGATTGTAATATCAATTTACTGAATTTATTAACTAAACTTTTTTCAAATAAAACAAAAAATCAAATTAAAAGCCGGTACACGAATATATTAAAAATGGAACAAATATTTTGATATTGCGTGGCACACACACACACACATGTAATTCGAGGAGATGGACGACTTAATCGACTATCGCGATTATATCAAACTTTAACTCACCACTCACATGATACATCAAAAACATTCCTTTTTCCAAAGGAAATTTTGAAATTTTTTATTTATTAAAACAGATAAGATTATCAACAACAATTTATTATTAGTTTTCTTTTTTTTGGTTAATCAAATATGAATTATTATTTAGAAAAAAATTTGAGATTACCAGGAATAATATTTTTTTTGGATAATATTAAAAAAAAACATGATAACGAATAATACAAATTATAATTGTTTGGTTTTGTTTCAATAATTATTTGTTTTGTTTTGTTTGTTTGTTTATAAGATCACACATATTGAGAAAAATAGCTGATTGTTTTTTTTTTCGTATTTTTTTTTTATAAATTTTTTTAGTAAGAAATTGATTTTGGTCATCATCATCATCATTTTCTTTGGCTGCTTCAAATTTCATTATAATCATCATTATCGTCGTCTGTTTGAATTTTTTAATCTTCATTAGTTTTAACACCATTATGCTTTGATTGATGTGGACGTTTTACACGTGAATAAGGACCAATATTTGGATCCATAATATAACGATAAATAACATTAATCCATGAATTATGTGAATGTAATGAATCATAATATTCTGGTGCAATTTTTCTTACTTGTGGTAATAATGTACCGGGTATTGATGGAAAATCATGATGTTCAACATGATAACCAACATTAAATGTAATCCAATTTAATGGTCCATAATATGAACAAGTTTCTGGTATGAGCATTAAACCATTATGAGCATAAACACCATTTATAAAATCACATTTTGATAAATCATTATCATCGATAGTATTAATTTCATCAATATTTTTCAATTGTTTAAGTTGTTTAGCTTTTTCAATCAGATCTTTTTTGTTCGAATCAAACATAATATAATGTTCGGAAATAAAATGACCAGCAACTGGATGTAAACCCATTGCAATTAATGATGAACCAATCATATAGAAAACCATACGTAAACCAAGTGTTTGAGCAATAAAAATATCGAATGATAATTGTATGATTAGATTTAAAAATTCATAAACACTTGGTGGTTTTGGATAAACAAACAATGGTCGTAAACCATAGAATAATGGTTGTAATAAAACCCATATAAATTTCCTAACAGTTGTTGTAAAAATTTTTGCTTCAAAACGTGATGGAATGTCCGTATCGATAATATCATCACCTTGATAACGATGATGTGCCAGATGATATTTTTTAAATGTAACACTCATTGGAAAACCTATCGGTAGATTAGCAAATATACCAAACAATTTATTATATAATGGTCGATTTGTACCAAAAGCTTGATTATGTGATATTTCATGTATGGCCAATGTTAATGTATGATTTAAAACACCGGTAAAACAATATGCCATTAAAAATAATAACCATAATGAATTAAAATGACTTAAAATATATAATGTAGCGATCTGTATGAAAACAATACCGATAACAATCCATTTAAATTTTTGATCAATAGTCATTAATTTTTTTATTTGTGGATATTTTTTCAATATTAATTTTCTTCTTGTTGCATGTGGTTCATCTATATATACATACATAATTGATTCATGTTTGAACAAATAACGATCAATCATTATTTTCGATGAAAGAAAACAAACAAATTAATAACCAAATCAAATTCATAATCAATATAACTTACCTGTATATGACCATTCATAATCACAACGTGATACTTGACTGCCCATTTTTGTTCGGAATTTTTAAACTTTTTTGAGAAAAAAAGTTGTATTTGAAGTTGAATTTGTTCGTTCGTTTTTGGGTTTAAAATGTCGAATTGAATACAAAAAAAAAATATCGAATGTTTTTTTGTAACAAAAACAAAATTTTTTAAGGAAATTTAATAAAGAAAAAAAAATGTGTAATTTGAGAAAACAACTAAAACAAAAACAACAATGATAAAAGGGAGAAATATAAACACACACACACACCGAACAAACACAAACGGCACGCACATCAAACAAACAAAAAGAAATGAAAAGAAAAAGAAAAATGGCCGGCTTTCAGCGCAAAATCTTTAAAATGAACAAAAATTCTTGCGAATCAAACAGAAAAATTCTTCAAATAAAAAGTGACACGATATATATTCACACTAAAATACACCCAGAATGGTTCCAGAAAATGATTGTGATTGTTGTCGTATTATCAAATCAAACACACACATATACCATAAATAGGAAATCTCTCTTACGTAATAATTATGATTATTTCACTAAACAAATATCACCATTTTAACAAATAAAAAAAAAATATGGATTAAACAAAACAAAACGTTCTATGACGACAAACAAACATTAATATGGTAGGATTAACAACCATAAAAACTTTATTCTCAATATCAATTCCGATAATGATGATGATGGTTGATGGCTGATGGTTGATGTTGATGCCAACTAACATTCGAAAATTCCTATGTAAATAACGTATGCTGATGGCTGGCTTACTAAACATCACATCAAATACAACTCTCTCATTACCAGACACACTGTATGCATTATTATGGATATTTCGATGATTGAAATCTTGTTCTTTTCAAGTTGTTTCCCTCTTTATTTTCTTTATATAATGCTGATGCTTGCTTGGTGGTATCCACACTTGGCTAGCTGGTGTAAATTCTCTTTCTCCTTCAATTTGCTCTTTTTTTTCACTTGTTTTTTTAAAAAGTTGTCACACACATACACGAAATGACACAAGTTTTTGTTTTTGATGATGATGATGATGATGATGATTATGCACATAGCACATTTTTGTTTTTAAAACTAATTTGACATTTATTATCAAATTATCATATAATCATCATCATTCGATAATGATATGATGTTATTCGAGAAATATCATTATGAAATCATTATCATTTTTTTGTTCAAATTTCAATCATTTATTCATCATTATCATCATCATCAATATGGAAAATAATTTGTATCGAGAGAGAGAGAGAGAAACAGAGAAAAATCTGAATTTTGAAAAAAAAAGAAAGGCGTACATCAAATGGATTTTTTGTTTTTTTTAAAACAAAAATCGAATGATGCACGTATAACAAACAAAAATTTTGGAATCAAAAAAAATTGTAAAATGAGAATCAAAAAAAAAATCGAACAAATTATATATTGCAACAAACAAATTAAAAAATCGATGGTATCGATAGTGATGGTGATAATGATCCAAATACAAAAAAAAACATTGGAATCATCAGATTTTATAAGATTTTTAAAGATGATAACATCGATTATAATCGATGCAGGTGGATTTTTTTCGTTTTCCTACATTATTTTTTTTATTATTTATATAGGCACATACATTTTTAAAACGGATGTTTAAAAATTTTTTCTTAAAAAAATGATGAGCAGACATGGCGATAATATATATGTTTGAAATAATTAGTGTTCCGATTCGTTTGCTGTTTTTAAACAATGGTATTCCTTCATTTCATTCTTTTTTGCGGTGGTGGTGGTGGTGGAAAAGCCATTTTTGTTTCAATTTATTGAGATTTGGAAAACAATTGTATTCGTTTACCACGATTAACCTGTGGTTTGGTTTTGATTGTACCCTTCTTTCTTCTGGAATTCTATTTTGATTAACAAACCAAACAAAATTAATTAAAATTGCAAAATTTTTTTACGGTTTTTTTTACCTTTTTCGTTACAAAACCAGTTTGTTTAACTTTACGTTGTGAATATGGTAATTTTTGACGATTTGATGGTTTTTTTACACGATAAATACGTACTAACCAATGTTCAGTTGTATATGCTTCTTCAAGATGTTCAAGTTTAATATTTTTATTACCAATTTCAGTTTGTCTAGTACGATCATAACCATGTGGTGAACGAAAATCAGTCTGAATTTTTTTTTTTTTAAAAAAAGATTAATCATTTGCAAAAAAAATGTCAAATCCAAAACAATCACTTACCTGTAATTCACCAAAACGAAAATAACTTAATTTATACATCAGACAATTGAGCAATGTTGGTGAACCACCAGCATCCACACGAAATTCACCACGATCAGTAAAATAATCACTTTCACGTATATCATTCGGATGTTCACCTTCAGCAATACGTACCATCCATAAAAATTTATTAATATCATCACCTGAATAACCGATTACACCACCAAATATAACTAAAACATAATCAACATCTAATGCTTTCATAATTTCATATGCTGCACTTTCATTTGATGACATTGCTTTACCAACTAATGCAATATGACTATTATTCCATGTATTATTATCAACTAATGTTGTACGATTTGCCATACCGGCTATTTGATAGCCATAATCCCACCAAGACATAACTCTTGCATCATCATCAGTATTTTGTGATAGCCAATAATATGCTTCACGAAAATCATCCAATATAACACGAGATCTATAAAAAGGAAGAAAAAGAAATGAATTTTCAAATGAAAAATTCAATCAAACACAAAACCTCTTACCCATCACCACCATAACTGGCTAGTACAATACTAGGACTAGAATAAGCATTACTAGTTACCCAAGTACAATGAACAACAAACAACATTAATAACATTATTAATAAAACTGATGCTATTGTTCGTAGATTAGCACTTAATGAATCAGATTCTTTTGGTTCGGAACGTATTTTTCTTATTTTTCCAGCTTTATCATAAAGATTTTTTTGACCATTTTTTTGATCATCATCATTTTGTTGTTGTTGTTGCTTAGATTTAGATGATGTTATTGTTGGAGTTGTTGTTGGTGTTGTTATTGTTGTTGATTTCTCTTTATCCATTAGACAACCAGAAAAACATTCGGAAAATGCAATAGCACTAAGAACACATACAACCGGTGTAAATGTTAACATTAAACGTACCATAACTCCAGCAAAATAAGAAGCAGTAATTGCATATAAGGTAACTATTTATTTGTTTTGTTTTTGGACCAGAAACAAAAGCATTAGTTTAGGAAAAAAAAGCTTTGAAAAATACAAAAAAAATAAATACATACTGAATACACGTTCATCATTAACTTCACGAATACAATACCAAAGACCAGCTGGAAATGCTGTAACAAGTACATGAAGATCGAAAAAAAATGAAAACCATGTTGTTGGTTGATGTTCAGAAACTGATGCTATAATTGGTATATGAATTTTTGCATAACCAGTATCCCAAAGTGAATAAAAACGACCACTCCATGGTGCAATATAACCAGCATATGTAAGTGTAACAACACTTAAAAATACAAGACCAGCAAAACCAATAACAGCTGTTATGAAAAATGTTTTCAATTGTGATTTTGAAACAAATTCTTGTAGATATTTAAGAAATGCATATGCTTGTAATAATGCAAATACACCGGCCGATGCCATATGTTCACTAGTACGAACTGGTTGAAAACCAACAAATGGTATTTGCATTGAAAACAATAATCCTAATATAAAAAATACGCTATAACCTGAAAAAGAATATGGGTTTTTTAATGGTTTATTAAAGAAAATAATAAACTTACCAACATAAATACGATTAGAATATCGTCCCATTAATAGTAGAAAAAATACATGTAATGGAATTAAGTTGATAATGAATACATAACCACCCCAAGCAGAAACCATATATAAATATGATAATGCTGTTAATGTTGCCCAAAATACTGAACCAGTTTTTACTGTTTTAACCCAAAGATAATATGTAAACATTAATGCAAATATAGCAATTCCTTCATTATCATAACTGCCGGCAACTGAACGTGAAATATAACCCGGAACTATTTATCAAGGAGAATAAAAAAACAAACAATGAGAAAGTTTTCGGTCAAGCAATGACAATAACAAACAAACCAATAGCAATAAAACATGCAGCAAATAAACCAGCCGATTCATTCCAAAGTTCTTTTGTAAGTAAATATGTAGCGATAGCTGTTAAACCGGAAAATATTGGTGCAAGAAATACACAAATATCTCGAATATGAATAGGAATGTGTAATATATCCAATATATAATGTATTAGACCAGATGTTAACATTAAACCAGGATAAACAGTACCACCAACAATACGACCTAATGGATACCAAGCTCGTTCATCAAACCAATTAAGAAAATTATAGAATCCATTTGTAACCATATAATGTGTTGCACGATAATTAAACCTTTTTAAAAAAAAATCATTATTAAATTATCAAACCCAAATGACAATCAACATACCATGGATCAAATTCATGAATGATACTTTCAAAACGTATCACAGCAAATAAACGGCAACAAAAACCGGCTAACCATGCAAGACCCAATATGGTTACTTGTAATAATAATAACCGACTTTTTAAACCATTTGGTTTAGTATTATTACCACCAACACATTGTTGTTGTTCATTTGAAATCATTTCTTTTGATGATTTCGATGAACCGGCTTTATTTTCGTTTACCACCATCAAGAATGTTTATAATTTTCTTTAATAAAAACAAAAAATCAATCAATAAGAATCGAAGATTTTTTTTTTTTGCAAATGTCAAGCGAACCTTCAGTAGAAGATGGATTCTGACTGACTTGTTCTTTTTTCTTCGGTTGTTATCGTGATCGTCAGGAATCGGAATCGATTACTTTTTTTTTATCCACAAAACAAAAAACACACAAAAGAATAGAATTTTTTATTCAATAAAAACCAACTCATCAATCAAACACACACACTCATTGAAAGTTAATAAGCTCGCCAAACACCGCATGTATACATAGTTAACACAAAGATGACGTTTGCATAAGGCAAAAAAAAAAATTTTTTTTTTAATACAAAAATTCGAAAATCAACACCATCTTTTAACAGACCGGTGGTATTTTTATTTTTTCTAAAAATTGCTTTTTAGTTACATTAGATGGCAGCAGCGCAGCATTATTGATGATGAATTCTTTTGAAATTAATTTTTTTTTTTCAAAAACGTCATTTTTTCTTCAAAGTCAATCAATCAATCAATCAATTAGAAAAAAAATGATAATTTTTAATCGAACCTTTTCAATTTTGGGAGATTAAATGCTTATGGTAATAATCACTGGGGTATAAAAAATGATAAAATCAATTTCAAGATTTTTTTTTTGTTTTTTAAATAAAAAATGATAATGATGAGATTAATTAAGATTAAGATTGGATGCGGATTTGCTCATATGACTACAAAGAAATTATCGATCATCATCAATCCATCGATCATCGGGGTATAAAAGTATCGATATTTTTTTCCAAAAAAATTGATTCCAAACCATCATTGACGACTACATTGACTCAGCCAACCCGAAATAATTTTTAAAAAAATGAAAATCTTTCAAATATTATTCGTTTTTTTCACAGTGTTTGCTGCATTGACATTTGGTGAAATGCATCGTTTCTGTGGTGATCATGGTGATTGTAAACATGTGGATAAAAATAATCCCGAAGAATGTTGTATTAGTGGCCAATTGAATGGTTATCATGAATGTTTACCGAATCCATCGCCTGGTCAAAAATGTCCACCATTGCCCGTATTTTGAAATAGAGAGAGATGATGACTAACGAAACAACCCTTTTTTTTTTTGCCAATAAAAATTTTCTAAAATACAAAAAAAAAATGAATTTAAAAAATAAATAAAAACTTGATTTTTTTTTCTTCCTCAAAATATAAAACACACTTACATTTTGTTTTTTTGCTTGCAGCGATCACAAATGGACTAGCTTCTTGTTTTTGTTTTTGATTTTCAATTGATAATATTGAATAATAATGCCAAAATGATACATGCAGTATAAACACCTAATGCCATCCACCATAATAATTGTTCATGAAGTTTTTGTTCAAAATTTTTCAACACCAATAAACCGATTGTTAAACCAGCTAATGCACCGGCTAAATGTGCAACATATGATATTGATTCTGGTTGCGATTGAAACATAATAATATCCGATTGAATAGCATAACGATGATATATGGCAATACTAACATCAACTGATGCTATTAAAAATACACCCAATACACGTAATAATCCCATTTCCAAATGATTATAATTTAGTAGAACATTGGATAAATGTGCAGCTAATAATGCATAAACACCACCTGAAGCACCAACCAAGTAACAATTTGGATCAAATACTGATGTTGCTAATGAACCAGCTAATACACCTGACATATAAACAATACCAATACGTGTTGATCCATGTACCATTTCCAGTGGTAATCCAACCAATAATTGTACAATTAAATTAAAAATTAAATGTAACCAACCAGCATGTAAAACCATATACAGGAAAAATCTCCAAATTTCATTTTTTCTATCTGGACGATAAATAAATATTGAATCCGTGGGTATTGGACCAGATGTTGTTAATTCAATTTGATTTACGATTGTATAATAAGCGAAAAATATTAATTCAACTAATGTTATGGTCAGTATGAAAAATGGTGGTGGCATACATGAATACATATCGGCATAATATTTACGATCACGTTCATCATCAAGAAAATGTTTAGCAACCGTACGGGTCATTTTATTGAATATTTTTTTCATTGATGATTTGGATGAGGATGACTGGGATGTTGATGACGGTGGTAACATTGGTGTTTTTGATGATAATTGTTGTTGTTGAAGCAATTGCACTTGAGGATGATGATGATAATAATGTTGATTTGGATCAAAATGAATCGATTGACAATATGGTGATTGATTTGTTGTTGTTGTAACCGAGTTGTTGTTGTTATTGGGCAATATTTGAAAATCTTGCAATTCAACCAAACGGCTACCGTTTGATGATGAAGATGATGACGATGGTATCGGACCTATTGATGATGGTAAAATAGCCGAATAACTTGGTAAACTTAAATCACCACCAAATTGTGGTGAAATTGTTGTTGTTGTTGCCGCTGGATGATTTTGATTTTCAACATCGAAATTCGTTTGATTAGTTATCATTATTGGTGATATTGATGATGGATGATGCTGTATTTGTTGTTGTTGTTGTCGCAATTGTTGTTGTTGTTGTTGTTGCGACGATTGTTGTTGTTGTTGTTGTTGTTGTTTATTCCAATTATTAATCTGTCTATGTCTACTAATAACATCTTCATGATAATGATGTGATCGATAAAAATCATTTGAAAAATTATTATAAAGATAATTATGATAAATGTTTGTCATATTTGTTGTTGTTGTTTTGGTTGTTGTTGTTGTTCGTAATCCAGGTATTGTAAAACAACGAAATATTTCATTTAGATTTTGTTTTTGATTTAGCTAAAAAAGATTTTTGTAGAAAGAAGAAAAGAAACAGAAGAAAAATGGTTATATTTTCAAATGAAAATGTCTTTGCGAGGAAAAAGAAACTTTTTTTTTGCAAAAAAAGAAAAACTCGTTGATCACAACCTGACCTGACCAAAGATATCATCATTATTCAAAGAAAACTAGAAAAGAAAAATTGGTTATCTTGATTGTTCATCTTAATGATGATCAACAATTGAAAAACCAGAAACAATGGCCATCATTATTCATTATCCATTTCAATTTTCTTTGTTTTTCTTTCGTTTGTTTCTGCAAAATGAAATAATTAAACCAGACACCAAGTGTGTGTGTGAAAATGTCAAAAACAAAACAAAAAAAGTTAAATAAGGATTAGACTTTTTTTTGCATAGACAATCGGTTAGCTTCTGTGTGTTTGTTTGGTTGGACATTCGAAATTCAATGAATAATGATCGTTTCGATTCAATGATAATGATGATTATCATCATCATTGAAAAGATAAAGAGACTTAAGGGAGAAAAAAAATCTTCATTCAAGAGATAGGCAAGCAAACTTCTTTAAAAATTCTTAACACTTCATCATCATCCTTGATCAATCGATCGATCGATTGATTTTTATTTGATCAAACATTAATTTTCCAACCAGAAAAATTCAATTTCGCTAAATTGTTTTTGTTTTTCCTTCTTCTTCCATTTCATCATTTGCTAAAATTCATTCGAGCAATCATCATTTGATTATCATCATCAAAAAGGCGACCAGGATTTTGATGATTGCTCTATATATATTTTGTGTGTTTCCAAAAACCAATTTCATTCTACACACTTGATGATGATGATTGTCTTGAAGAGACAACGAAGCAAAAACAAAAAAACAATAATGTCTATCCTGTTCTGCCAAGTAATAAAGAGAATGGAATGGCAAAGAGAAGAGAAAAAATCAATTTACCACTATGGATGAATGAATATTATTATGATGAAATGATTATCCAGGTAAAATTTAAGGTAGGTAGGTAGGTATGTTTAAAGTGAATGAATTACATATCCCAAAAGGCAATATGGAAACTTTTTTAAAAAACGGATCCTGTTTCTGTTGAAGAGCAATTATCATCATCCATAATGTTTTATGATTATGATTGGAAAAATATTTTCCTTTTCTTTCCCTCGCTATCAATCATAATAATAACCAAGGGAACCAAAAATCAACCAGAAAATTTCATTGCATCATTTGATTTTTGATTTTTGGATTATCAAATTAAAAAAAAAGACAAATGATGATAACCTGGAGACAGGAATATTTTAAAATTTTCAAAAATACGTATCATGCAATGAGCATACCTACACTGCACACACACCTATTCTATTCTGATTAACGTTTAGTTGATTGTCCGGGATTGTTTTTGAACACACATAGAAAAATCAACGAAAACGATGCAAAAATGAAATTCAAAATGCGGAGGTGGATGACGAGATATATACGAAAAAATAAATCATTCATTTCTTTGATAAGAAATTAAGTAGGTAGAGGTTTCTATTTTATCCAAATTGGGGGATATCCATGATACACAATGACTATGTTGAATAATAACAAACGACATTCAACAGATAACAGGTAACTAACGTTAGTCAGGTGAACAAAAAAATGACTAGATCATCATCAACAACCAGAACAGAACAGAACAAAAAAAAAAAAAAAATTCGTTAGTTGACCCTGTGTTTGAATGAAAAGTGCATGGGAAAACAAAAATTAATTGTCCATATGTCAGGCATATGTATGTGTGCAGCACAGGTAAAATTCAGGTAAATTTCACATGCAAAATTGCAATGATGATCATCAAGGGCAAAACTATCCTGGACAATCATGATGATGATGATGATGATTAAATTGAAAATGACAGCAGCAGATTCTCTGATCAGACTTTTTTCGGGAAAAATTTCCTTGAATGTGATGACAATTAAAAAAAATTTATTTATTTTTTTGTCTTTGCGTAGGTGTATTGTGTTGATGAAAAATGTCATCAAACTTTGCAGATGATGATGCTATGCGATGATAATGAAATGAAATGAAAAAAAACTACGTGGGAGTCATCCACAGTGCAATAAATTTTTAATTTAATTGTCGAAGGAAAAAACTTTTGAAAAACTTTTGAAAAAACCAGAAAAAATTATTTCCATAATTTTTCTGGTTTTTGACAACAACCAGGGCGTTAGCGTTGTGTTTTGGTTGGGTGACAAAACAGAATGAACAGCAAAAAACCGGAACAAACGAACGGAAATTATTGGTTTGGTTTGGTTTATGTTGGGGACGAAAACAAAATCACACCGGATATTTTTTTTTTGTTATAAATTTTACCTGTTGATATTGTTGCTGTTGTTGAAAATTGAATTTTAGTTTTTTTTCAAGTTAAGTTTACAACGCAAAAAACACAAACACAGTAAAATTTTTTTGAAAAAAAACGGGGTGATCTTCTTGTTCACTGATCAAAAACTGAATGAATATGGTACTTGGTTGGTTGGTTGGTTGGCTGGTAATTTCAATTCAGAAAAACTTTTTAGCTAACCAAAGAGAAACAGCGAGAGAGAATCTGTCTAGCTTCAATATGGGCATATTGTCTGTCTCATTCATTCAGTCAGTTTCTCTCTCTCTCTCTCTCTCTCTCTCTCTCTCTCTCTCTCTCTTTGATGGAAAAAACGACCCATTCGACAAAAAAAAGGTATTTTTTTTGTGTTAACAGCCACCGCCGTTTGTTCATTTCCATTCAATTCATGTTTGAATTTGATTTGTGATTTGTGATAGAAGCCCCTCCCCTATAATTTTNCCAAAGCAAAGAGAAACAGCGAGAGAGAATCTGTCTAGCTTCAATATGGGCATATTGTCTGTCTCATTCATTCAGTCAGTTTCTCTCTCTCTCTCTCTCTCTCTCTCTCTCTCTCTCTCTTTGATGGAAAAAACGACCCATTCGACAAAAAAAAGGTATTTTTTTTGTGTTAACAGTCACCGCCGTTTGTTCATTTCCATTCAATTCATGTTTGAATTTGATTTGTGATTTGTGATAGAAGCCCCTCCCCTATAATTTTGAATTGATAAATGTTACCACCCACATGTCGTCATCATTATTCATTCATCAAATGAAAAATTAAAAAAAAGGATGTTTATGTAAGTGAATGTAGAACGAGAAAAAATCGATAAATTTTCCGATAAATTCAATTTTCATAAAATTTCTCGATAAAATTTCCGGAAAATTTCCGAAAGTAATCTTTTTTAACAGACGAATAACAGACGAAAAAAAAATGACCAATTTCCGACGGAAAACAAAAAATGTCGACACGCGTCACCACCAAGAAAAAACGTATGGTGACCACCACCACACATCCTATATCCACACAAATTGAAATTCAAAAAAAAGACTACATTTGGTTATATGTCACTCGACATAGACCATCTGGTCATTAATATTTTCCTATTTTTTCGCTTGTTGAATGTTGTTGTTGTCACAACAACGACGACACACCAGACAATGGTCACGGTTTACTGAATTTCTAATATGGTTAGTAAAGTCTGTTTCATGTCACCAATTATCATTTCATTTGGACATTCATTCATCATGGAATGTCAATTCTAATATTTAAAAAAAAAAGTTGAAAGTTCAATCAAACTTTGGGCGTTCAAAAAAAAAGTAATCGAAAAAAACAAGCATCCTTGATGTTTTGTCGCGGCAAATCTACAAACAAACATCATTGGGTCACTATACCTACATCCATTTCACTATATCCACCTTGTTTGCTTGTTTGTCCAAATTGTCATTTGTCGTTGATGATGATGTTTGTCAAAGGAACAGCGTTTTTTTGTCAATTGAAAATACCCCAAAAAACATGCGACAAAATCCCTAAAATAAATATGGATGATGAAAATTGAACTTTCGCCCGAAAAAAAATGGCACACTTCAATCAAACAGCTGCTGTTTGGCTGTTGCTTTTTGGAAAAACCAAAATACTTTTTTTTCCATTTTCAAACAAATAAAAAAAGTCTGGTCGTGTGTCACACACACACACAATCATCATGTAAATGGACGAGAAAAAAAAACATTCGACCAGAGCCAAAAAACCATTTGCAAAAATTAGAGCACAAGCCGTTCAAACCAGCCAACCAACCAAACCAAGCAAATAGTTGAAAAAAAGAACGAAAATCAGCCAGGTTTTCATTTCAATTTGGCTTGGTTAGACAACAGGTCTACAGATTCAGATTAAAGGTAGCACGTGCTTGAATGAACCAAACTCGAAAAAAAAGAAAAGAAAAAAAAAGGCTCGTGGCACAACAACCCTCGATCAGGTCATTCATCACATCTGCTCACCAGAAAAAACCAAAACCAAACGAAAATCCATTAGTAAAACTTTTTCCAGAGAAACACAGACACACACACACACCTAACTTGTTGCTTATTGTCACCAAAATGATTTTTTTTTGTTCGGATCCAAAAAATTTCCACCAACCTCACCCTCCTGATCAGATGGAGATCACCAGAAAATATTGAAATGGGATGATTGACTGCACACTATTCACCAAAACACAATGAAAAACTTATTAATAGATTAGGCTACTGTGTGTTTCTCTATCTGGGGTTTTTGTGAAAATGTCGTTGGTTGTTATCCCCCTGCCACCAAACACAGTAGTTTGTTCAAAATCATCATCATTATCTTTATGCTTATTTTCCAACAGCAAAAAAGACCTGCTGCTGCTGCTTCAGAGAAGGCCAGAAAACGACAATTTTTTTTCGGTTTTTTTGACATTTCAAACGAAACAAAACGACATATGGTGTGCACGAGACCAAAGAGGATGTAAGTTTATATATGGATATGGTGTGTGTGGCACGTGTCTATTTTTTTCACAACTGTAATCTGCAAGTTAGGCTTTCTGCAAATTGAAAAAGCATTTTGGGGTAAAAATGGCCTTGAAGTTGATGATATTTTTCATAGTTTAAACTCTCAGACAAAGAGAGACGATATTTATAATTAAATCCAAGCTAGAAATGATCGTTAAGAATCACAAAATGGGAAAATGTCAACGCTTTTCTCCGGAAAAAAACAACAGCAGAAGAAAAAGATTGACATCCTTCTTCTTCTTCTGCTGTTTTTACGATTCTTGAATGAATGATGATGATAATGAGAAAAAGTTCAAGTTTCAAAGTTCTTAAAAGTTTCTCTTTTGGTTGAATGATCCAAATTTAGACCAAAGTTAAGATAACTAACTAACCAACTAAGCAAGTAAAGAAAAACACCAAGGGTAAGTGTAGTAAGTGTGATCAAAAAGTAATCAAATCTTATGTCTTATTGAAATGGCCAGATGAGTATTAACACGTGTGTGTCTCACGCGCGACGATAATGATTATGATGATGATGATGATGACAAAATGCAAATCATCAAGATGATGATCAAAGATAAGAGATAATTTCAAGTTTAACAAGCAGCAACAAAAGAAAGTTAATAACCTTTTTTTTAAAAAAAAAGGAAAATTCAATTCAATTCGTTTCGGTTCCATGAACATTGGTTTCATTAATTAGTTTTAAGTGAAGAAAAAAAACAAATTTTTGGCTACTGGAAATACAGATACAAAAAATCCTATGTAACAAGATCAGATACAGTCAGAGAAAAGAAAAGAAAAGAATTTTTTCATAAGAAAAAGTTTCTCTTGGCATTACGATTGATCAAAAGAAAGAAATTCAAAGAAACTTTTTTCCATTCTTCTTCAGAACACAAATGAAGAAAAAAAAAGGTAAAACTTTGAATCTTTCAAGGGCAATAATTCATTGTGCGTACAGGTAGGTAGTTTGATTGTAGAAAATTTTTCACAATCAAATTATCAAAAATTTTGTTCAATAAATTCTTTAAACAACCGACCAAAACGAAAAAAAAAATTGACACTTGAAATGAAGAAAATGTTTCAAGAATAACAAAAAAAAATTGTTTCAAGCCAAACCTTAAGAGAGAGAGAGAGAGTGGGTTACGTTTCAAGTTTACGATTTTTTACATAGAAAGATAGCGGGATAGGTTTGGTATTTTTTTTTATTTTTTATTTGTTTAGTATCGACCTGTCAATAAAAAAAATTTTCTACCATAACACAATTGAATTGTTACGAATTGGCGATTGATTGGCGATTGATTTGATGGTGGCAGTGAGAAAAAAGATAAGGTTCACTATTCATATCGCAATCAATCGATCGATCGATCGATTGATCGGTATTTCTTACAAGCCAGAAAATTTTTTTCTTTCCAAAAAATTCAATTCATTAGTTGGCGGCAATCATTCAACCTTTGATGATGATCAAAATGATCATCGATCGAGTGAATGAATGAAGAAAAAAAATCATAAAATTTTTTCCTCACTCTTATCTATGGACAAAATTGTCTTAATTTAGTTTTTTTTTATTTATCGTATTTTCACGGTTTTAAGGTTTGGTTCAGGTAAATAATAATAATAAAAAAAATTTGCATAAAATTTACCTGGAGAAAGCACACCTACACAATTATGCACGCGAATTAGCAGAAAAAAAACGTGCTGTAACTTACAAAAAAAAATTTCATATTTTCTTATCACTCGTATCGAATATCAAAGGAAAAAAGGAAACTTATTTTTGTTTTGGAATCCAAAGAATCCATAGAACATCACCCAAACCATAATGGTTACCTAGTGGTAGTTATTCGATTATGATGATGATGATGATTGGAAATCCAGAAAAAGGTATAAAAAAGGGTTAATTAATTGGAAAAGTTTTTCTCCTTGATTGATTGATTGATTGATTATGTGATTGATTAACACCAACATCAAAAAAATGAATCGATTAATAATTTCATCAATTTTCTTATTAATATTATCAATAAATTTATGTTTTTCATCATTTCCAATACCAAATTTTATAAAATTATTAATAAATAGTTATGTTGATGATGATGATGAATCACCAATTGTAACATTAAAAAATGGTGCACGTATACGTGGTGTTAATGAATGGGTGCCGGATAAAAAACCAATGTATTTTTTTCGTACAATACGTTATGGGGAAATACCGGAGAGATTTGGCCTACCACAACCAGTCAAGCAATGGAATGATATTTATGATGCAACTTATTTTCGTAATGGTTGTCCACAAAATTTACCATTCATATCAACAGAAGAAGATTGTCTTTTCTTAAATATTTTAACACCGGTTATTTATTCAACATCAAGCAATAAAAATCATTTACGGCCAGTTATATTTTATATTTATGGTGGTGCATTACAATTTGGTAATATAAAATTTATACTCAGTAAATTATATGATGGTAGTCATTATGTGGATTTTGGTGATTTCATATTCGTCAGTGTTCAACATCGTTTAGGTGCATTTGGTTTTCTTTATTCGGGTAATGAACGTGCACCAGGTAATCAAGGTATACATGATATGATTCTTGCCCTAAAATGGGTTAAAGAGAATATTGAACGATTTGGTGGTGATCCAAATGATATAACATTAATGGGTTTATCATCCGGTTCAATGGCTATTTCAACATTAATATTATCACCATTAGCACGTGGTCTATTTCATCGGGCAATAATGAAATCTGGTTGTATTAGTGATTATTATACTTATTCACCTGAACGTATGCTAAATTTTTCAAAAGAATTTGCCAAATTATGCGATTGTCCAATTGATAATCCAAATCATATGATTGATTGTTTACAAAGTAAATCAATAAATGAATTAGTTGGTGTACGATTAGCAATAAATTTACGTGAAATATTTACTGGAAATATATTCCTGATGATGTATGGTGATCATCGAAAACTATTACCTGAACGACCAAGTAAAATGTTTGCAAATGGTAATATAAATCCAGTTGATTTAATTGCTGGTTTTACACATGGTGAACAAGGAAATTTTGTTGAAAATTTCCATCCAGAACTGAAAAATGGTTCACAAACAATGAATATCAAGGATGTAAAAAGAATATTTGATAAAATTTCATCAAGCGTTCCACGTATGTATGAACATAATGATAAAGTTTTTAATTTTTATACCAAAAATATGAATGATAATCCATTAAAATCTGAAGTAAGATTAGCAATTGGTCATGCATTATCTGATTCAATTTTTACATGTCCAACATATCTGTATACACAAAAATATGCACGTGCAATAGCCAAAAATTCATCAAATTCTAAATATAAAGTTTATCTATATCGTTTTGATCATCATTCACCATATATGATGATAATGTCTTGTCCATCATGGATGGGTCCTTGTCATGGTGCTGATCTACCTATAATGATTGGTATGGCACATTATACCCGGTTATTATCATTTGCATTTTCCGCTACGGATAGAAAATTAAGTCATCAAATTATGAAAACATTTACAAATTTTATTGAAACAGGTGAACCGGGTAATTTTATTGATAATATTGAATGGCCAGAATTTCGTTCCGTACAAAAAACAAGAAATGGACAGGAGAAAATTTCCTGGAAACAAATGGTTATCGATAGTAAATCACGTATTATTGTTGATGCTCATATTGATCAATGTAGATTTTGGGAACCATATCTTTCCGTTGATGATCCTATCAACTAAATTTTACACAATTCAAATTCACATAGAAAACAAAACAAAACATACATTTGTTTACAATCCTGATTATTTTCCCAAAAACAATTTTCCGTTGACTGTTAATTGATTTGAATAATAAAAAAAATGTTGATTATTATCATTTGCAAAACGAAAAAAAACGTGCGGTAACTTTAATTCTTTTTTTGTTTAAAGAATTTTATTTAAAGATTTTTTGTTATGGAATCCAAAAATCTGCTTATGATATTGGTGGTTACCGTGGTGGTAACATGCGTAATTTCATTCTTAATAGCGAAAAACAAATATTTTGGATATTCAACAAAAAAACAGGTATAAAAAGAATTTCATTTTTCTTTGAAATTTTATGACGAATAATGCAACAAAATGAATCGATTAATTATTTCATCGTTATTACTGTTATTATTATTATTACCAACAAATTTGTGTTTTTCAATATTACCCAATTTTATAAAATTATTGCTAAAAAACAGTCAAGATGATGATGAATCGCCAATTGTAACATTAAAAAATGGTGCACGTATACGTGGTGTTAATGAACTGGTTCCAGGTAAAAAACCAATGTATTTTTTTCGTACAATACGTTATGGTGAAATCAAGGAAAGATTTGGCCTACCACAACCAGCTAAACAATGGAATGATATTTATGATGCAACTTATTTTCGTAATGGTTGTCCACAAAATTTACCATTCATATCAACCGAAGAAGATTGTCTTTTTCTTAATATTTGGACACATAATATCTATTCATCATCATCATCATCGAAAAATCTTCTTAGACCGGTAATTTTTTATATTCCTGGTACTGGATTTGATTTTGGCAATATAAAATTTCTTCTCAGTAAATTATTTGATGGTAGTAATTATGTGGATTTTGGTAATTTTGTTTTTGTAAGCATACAACATCGTTTGGGTCCATTTGGTTTTCTTTATTCGGGTAATGAACGTGCACCAGGTAATCAAGGTGTTCATGATATAATTCTCGGTCTACAATGGGTTAAAGAAAATATTGATCGATTTGGTGGCAATCCAAATGATATAACATTGATGGGTTTATCATCCGGATCGATGGCTATATCAACATTAATATTATCACCATTAGCCCGTGGACTATTTCATAGAGGAATTATGAATTCTGGTTCAATAAGTGATTATTATAATTATTCACCTGAACGTATGTTAAATTTTTCAAAAAAATATGCCCAAAAATGTAATTGTCCGGTAGATAATCCTGATCATATGATTGATTGTTTGCAAAGTAAATCGGTAAATGAATTAATCGAATTACGATCATCATTTAATCTTTCTGCCTTATTCACTGGAAATGTATTTCTAATGATGTATGGTGATCAGCAAAAATTATTACCTGAACAACCAAGTAAAATGTTGGCCAATAATGATTATAATCCAGTTGATTTAATTTCAGGTTTTAATAATGGTGAACAAGGTGTTTATCTGAATAATTACTTTAAAGAATTAAGAATTGATTCAAGAAAAATGAATATCAATGATGTTAAACAATCATTCTACAAATTTTGTAAAATAGTTGAACATATGTCTGAATTTTGTGATAAAATATTCCAATTTTTTACACGTAATATGAATGATAATCCATTTCGATCCGATGTTCAAAAAGCATTAAGTCATGTATTATCTGATTCAATTTTTACATGTCCATCATATTTATTTACACAAAAATATGCACGTGCTTTAGCCAGAAATTCATCCAATTCTAATCATAAAGTTTATTCATATCGTTATGATCATCATTCACCATATATGTCATTATTATTTTGTCCAAAACGATTAGGTATTTGTCATGGAACTGATTCACCAATATATTATGGTTTGGCTTATTATACACGTATCTTGTCGTTTGTATTTACCGCTACGGATAAAAAACTAAGTTATCATGTAATGAAATCATTTAGTAATTTTATTGAAAATAGTGAACCTGGCCACTTTATGGATAATCTTGAATGGCCGGAATTTCGTTCAATTGAATCAAATGGTGGAAAAAATATTTCCTGGAAACAAATGGCCATCGATAGTAAACCTCGTATTATCACGGATGCTTATGTTGAACAATGTCGATTTTGGGAACCATTTCTTTCCGTTGATGATCCTATCAACTAAATTTTCAACAACAACAAAAAAACTTAACACATTGTTTTAACAAACCCTAATTAGATTTATTTGTTACTGAACAAATACCGACATTACCAATTTCAAGTTTCTTTTTGTCCTCTTTTTTTTATTCATTATTATACAACCATTGAACAGACAAACAGCATAATAAAAAAAATTCGTTACAATTGTCAATATTGAAATGATAAAATGGTCATTATATTTGCTAGCCCTTCAGGTATATTACTTTAGGTAATAAAAATGTCCCATGAGAAAAGCAGAAAAAAAACTTTAAAAATTTTCAAATGACATAATCATTGTGTCATTTTTTTTATTTGTCCAAAAACAATTTTCTTCAGAAATTATTGATCATTCAATCAATCAATCGAATGAAACAACTGATCTGGGAAAATTATTGTTTGGGCAAATAGGAAAACAAAAAAGGATTACGTTTTTTTGAATTGAAGAAAAAAATGTTGCTTTAGGCTGGTTTTTTTGTTTTGAATACAGAACCAAACAAACAACAAACAAACGAAGCCGAAACAAAATATCAATCAGATAAGATCTTTCGATTGAGAAAAATTTAAGAAACAAAAATTCTCATTCTTATTTTTCAAGTGAAAAAAGAAACAATTTTATTACATAAAACAAAACTTTTGTTGTTTTTTTCAAATTGAGATCTCAATTCATTCATTCATTGAATTGGTCTATCATTGAACCAAAAACAAACATTGAAAGACCACCACCCTATTGATTTGATCAATCAATCGATCGATCGATCGATTGATCACGATATTCAGAAAGAACGAAAAAATTATGGACATTCATAATCATAAAGCCTATCATCAACCTATCAACACTCTATTCATTCATTCAATTCATTATTATCGATGTTCATCAGATAACCAGATGTGTTTTGTTGTTGCTGAAGAAGATACCAATCTTTAAACTACTACACAATCATTATCTACTGGGGTAAAAATAGGCCTGAAAATTTTTTTTTTTGGTTGCTGGAACATTATCGATCGATCGATTGATAATGAAAATCATAATCATCATTATTATCATTATAATGACCAAAAACATCGACCAAAAAGACGTTGACCATTTTCGCCGAAAACAAAAAATATAAAAAATTAAAAGGCGCACATCAGAAATCAAATATTGTTGTTTACATTCATATCATACAAAGACAGCCGTTGAACTTTGAAGCAAAAAAAAAATCGATCAACCAAATGGTCAAGAGAATGATCTAGTTTGATTGAACTTTTTCGATTTTTTTCACAACCAACCAAACTAAAAACATTTGTTGCATGCTCTATTGGTTTGCATAGTATCTGGTAAGGGTCCAGTAAAACTTTGAAAAAATATCTTTCCAGACACGAAAAAGTTTTTGGTGGCCAAAAAAGTTTTTCTTGTTGATGGTGGTCATTTGAAACAAACATACACAGATGTACCACACACGATCATCATCATTATCGATCATTCAACAACAAAAAAAAACATCAAGGGCCATCATCATCGATTTTTACATATGTGGAACATATAAACAACCATGGTTAACCCCAAGAACCAAATTAAAACCAGAAAAAATACAGAAAAAATTGTATCAAACAAAACAAAAAATCGATTATTTTCGATTTCAAATGTGTTTATTTTGATGATCCAATTTTCCAAACAAAATACATCTGTCCAGATATATTAGTCCAGATGAACATCGACACACGACGACCCTATGGTTGATTTGATTTGATTTTTTCGGTGTTTTTTTTTCTTCTTCTGAAATTACAAATGAAAAATCATCATTTCATTTTCTTACCAAACCAACCAACCAACCAAAAGAATCAAATAATAAATGACAGGCACATTTCTACAGCCTGGAAAAAAAATAAATGAAATTGTAACAAACGACCAAGACGAGAAGAATGAAAAAAAACAAGGTGCAGTTCTAGCCAACCAAACATTTTTGAAAAATTCAGATCAGATATTTTTTCTCGAACAAAAAAAAATTAAGTTTTCTCTCCCTCTCCCTCTCTATCATTCCTACATTTTTTTGGCGGATCTTTTTTTATGATCATCACCTCTCGATGATGATGATGATTATGATTATCATCGGCCTTTTTTTTGCGAATCGAAAAAAAGATGATGATCATCATGATTATCATCCATGGTACATTTTACAAGTAAATTTAAAGCTTACAAATAAACACAACAAACGTAAGAAAAAGATAATGGTTTTTTGTTGTTGTTGTTATTGTAGTTCCTTATTCGTATTGAATTATCATTCATTTCATTCCGTTTCATTTGTTGTTGTTGTTGTTTTGGCAAATTATCACTCAACAACAACAACAACAAGAAGATTATAAGTAGAAAATAACTTACTACCTCTTGAACAACAACAACAACATTTGTTGTTGTTGTTGAAAAGAAATTATGTGATGATTTGATCAAAATGATGATGATGATCAAATCAACAACAACAACAACGAAAAAATTGATCGATATTTAGACACGCCTTATCGATTTTTGCTTCGATTTTTCAAGATTCAAGATCTGAATTTTTTTTCTGTTGAAAAACGTTATTGTTACGTAAATGTGTGTTTGTTTTACCCAAATATATCACGCTTGATAACAAACAACAACAACAGCAGAATGAAATTGGTTCAAATCAAAACAATGATGATTTGAAGAAAAAAACCACCACCACACAAGTTGAGGGACTGAAACAATTTCTTAACCCTTTTTTTGGGATCATATTGCCAAAATGAAAACAAAAACCGATAACCATAAAGAAAAGAAAATAAATAAAGATATATTCTGGTGAAACGATCATAATAAGAAAGACAAGTCAGCAGGTTTTTTTTGGTTTGTTTGAAAAACAAAAAAAATTAATTTCTTTAAAAAACAAGCAATGTTTGATTGAGAGAATTTTGACAGGTAAAGGTCATATCATATCATCATTATCATCATCAATAACACACAGAAAGAAAGAGCTACGAAAATTATGGTTAACTAACTAGATAAAATTTCTTCTTCTTCATTTCTTCAACCCTAAAATCAACCTCGAGAAAATCGATAAACTAAACTTTTTTTTTTATTTGTTCGGCATAGTTGATTCAAAAATTGATTTAAAAAACCAAACAAACATTGAAAGGGTTGTGTTCTATGATTATTTATTCAAAATTTTTTTCCTTGTTGATTATTATTGTTTTTTCATTTTTGCATGTTAAAATTGTAAATTCTGTGTGGTCCAACAAACAACAGGGTAATCAACAGTAACCAGTAAAATGAAATGAAATATATCAACAGGTAGTTAGCAAATGGGGGCAAAAAAAACCCTTTTCTCAAGTTTTTCTCAAGTTTTTCATTCATTCATTCTGATAATTTTTTTGTTCGATTTGAAACAAGCAGAAAACTTCATTATAGATGTTCATTTTTTCCCACAGCGGGTGTTTTATGTCTTTTTTTTTAAAAAAAAAATTTTCAAGATTTTTCAAAATTTTTGGATGAAAAAAAGTTTCTCCAAGTATCATCATCAATTCAAATCGGATAAACACGTGCCGACAGCAGATTAGATTTTTGGAATGAATTTTCCAAAACAAAAATATAGTGTGTGGCTTATGGCACAATGAATTCTCAACAGACAACCAAAAAAATCATTAATCATTTTGGAATTAAGAATTATGATTGCTTGTCAGTTCATACAAAACAGAAACATGTTTTGAAAACAAAATATTCGTGATTTTGATTGTGTTTTAACTTGATGATGATGATGATCTCCATATTTTTATTCATAGTCGTCAAAAAATGATTAATTCATCATTCATTCACAACAGCAACAAACGACAAAAACGGAATCAAAAAACTTTTGGGTTCTGAATGCAATGAATGAATGAATGAACCATATTTGTAATAAATAATAATGATTATTATTATGAATTTTCATATACAATATTTTCCATTGTAAACATGTAAATATTACTACATGTGTCAAACATTTGTAGTAAATGAAACAAAAAAGTCATATATCACCCTAAGCATAATGAACAACTCAAACATTGATTATGATGGTCAAAATTATACAGACACACACACACAGGAAACTACCATATGATGCCGGCAATTTATTTTAATCTAAAAATGTCGGCAAAACCAAGAAAAAAATGTAATAAGCTTTGGATTTAATCATCATTTGAAAAAAAACAATGATATTTCTCTGTTTGTTCAAATGTCAAAGTTCATTATTAATTCAAACATCGATATATGTTTTGTGCGTAACACAAAATAATTAAAAGAAAAAATTCTTTTCTTGGCTTCTGTGCACACTCACAAACACATTCATTCATATTTCCATCAAATTATGTAAATATTTGAAAAAAATGATGATGCGAAACAAACGAAACAAACAAAAATTGTTACATTGAAAATCATTGATGAAATATCAAAGAATCGAATCTTTGATGGGTTCAAAGACCGAATTCTTTTTGAATGAAACACATTACGCCATCTATCATGCAAATGATTGAAATTAATTCATGTGCTCATTGTGATTGATGAACAAAAAATGGCCACCTGAATCGCGATTGAAACAATTCTTGACCAATTCTGAATTTTTTTCTTCAAAATTACTTTTAAAAAAAATCAAATCAAATGATTGAAATGTCCAAAATTAATCTTGAATCAATAAGAAAAAAAATCAACAATCTATATAGATTTCGTGATGAATATTTTGTCAACAATTCGAATGAAAATGAATGGCCAAATAAACGATCAGCGATTGAAATGAAAATAAAGGTTTGTTACTTTTTTTTCCAAACGACTAAAACAAATTTTCATTATTTAAAAAATGAATAATCAAAATAGGAAATTAATGATGAACTTGAAAATTATATCAATACAAATCATCTGGATGATGATGATAATAATATGAATAATAAAGCTGAATATTATTTTCTTCGTGGATGGTTATTAAATATACGTGATCAATATGATACAAATGTATTTGAATCACTGACAAAATCAATAAAATTTCAACCAGATAATCAACAAGCATGGTTAGAATTAGGTGAATGTTATTTTAAAAAACAACAACTTAATTTAGCTAAAAATTGTTTTGAAAAAGTTTTACAAATAAATCCTTCGGAAAAACATGCATTACGTAATCTATCGATAATGTTACGATCAAATCAATGTAATACTAATGATCAATCATTGGAAACAAAACAACAAAATATTGTTAAAAGTATTGAATTAGCTAAAAAAGCTATCGAATATGATTGTAATGATCCGGATTCATGGGCTATTCTTGGTAATGCTTATCTAACATTATTTTTTCAATCATCCAATAATAAATCATTAAATCGAATAGATTTATTGGAAAAATGTAAATCATCATATCAAAAAGCATTGAATGATCCTATTGTACGAACAAAATCCGATATTCTTTATAATTTTAGTACAATATTACAATATGATGAAGAATTTGAACAATCATTACAATGTTTATATAATGCAAGTCGTTATGATTCAGAATGGCTAGAATTGATTGATAAAAAACAACGATTACTTAATTTGTTTGATGAAATTTGTAATGGAAATAAATTAGATCGGACTGTGATCAAAGCGAAAAAATTAGCCAATATTAAAGAACAATTACAAACGGAAGAATTAAAATTGAAAAAACAATTTCAAAATGAATTGAAATTTTTTAATGGTCAAACAAAATTGATCGATGAATTGAATGTAAATGAAATAAATGATTGTTTACTAGTCTGTCGAATTATATCATATATTGCCGATCCGCATAATATATTTTTTTCATCTATTTATATTATTATTGATTCGAATGGTCAAACAATTACATTGTTTGTTTATGATTTGATCAGAAATAAAGGACCAAGACCTGGTGATACATTAATCATAATCAAACCATTTCTTCGAGAATATCGAATAAAATTCAACGGACAAGAATTTCATTTTAAAGCATTAAGAATTGTTGATCCATTACAGGAAATGTTAATCAATAATATGCAAATTAAAAATGATTGTTTAGCTATACCGACTATTAATGTAACACTTAAAAGTGATTGATTGGATTTATTTGAAAAATAATATTACTTACAACTTCGATAAATTCTTCGATTGTAATGAAACTGGTTCCATATTCAAGAACTTTGGATTTAAGTGCAGCACGTTTACGTGCAACATATGGATCTTGACGAAAATCTTTAGAATCGATTGCAATCAAAAAATCTTCAGTAGCTATTCGTCCGGTTCCTATTGGATCAAACTAAACAACAACAATAATAATTGACGAATGAATGAAAACAAACAACTACAAACTCCACTTACCTTTTCAAATAATCTTATCCATTTCTGTCATAATATAAACACAAACACGAAAAAAATTACGAATTAGAAACTCCTTCAAAGTATTGATTGAAACAAAAGGAAAAAACTTACAGCATTTTTTTTAGTAAAAATTTTTTCCTTTGTCATTTTTTTCTTCCGGAAAAACATTTTTTTTTCTTTTCAAATTAAGATGTAATGTCACAATTTAAAACAAAACAAAAAAAAGTAAAAACAAAAAGAATTTTCAAAAATAACCAAAACACATGATGTTGATGATGATGATGACAAGAATAAGTTCGACGTTCGATTATTATTATTATTACTTTCTCTCTGTGTGTGTGTGCCTTGTGTTCCTTCCGTCCGTCCTTTCTATTCCGCATACCACTTCCACTCCGGAATTGAATTCTGACCAATGGATTCTGGAACGCTTGAAAACCGATCAAATCCTTGTTTTGGTTCCAGAATCTGTTTGTTTTTCTTGATTTTTTCTCAGTCAGATTTTCCAAAAAAATTGATTACTTTTCAATTGAATTTTTTTCAATCATTCAAAAATTATGATTCCAAAAAATTAAAAAAATTCTTTTCAACAAAACAAAAAAAACGACATCTGATGGATAAGAATCGAACAACAAACAAAAAAAACTACAGCTAGCATTCGAATGTGTGTTTGTGTGAGCCAAGAATATCATTAAAATATACTACTACTACTACTATAAAACAAGTGCAAATAGAATTGTTATTGTCATTGTTAATGTTTGAGGTAGTAGTATTGGTGTCTGTTATTTGTATTTTTTTTTTTTTTTTTTTACTAACATCCGATTCATAACAACACAAAAAAAAAAATCGAACGAACGAAC